TAATAACTATCAAATTGACAAATAAATCTCATATTCAATGCCAATGCTCAATCATTAGTATGCCATATATAAAGTAGAATGAAATGTGTGTCATAAAAGCGTTCATAGTAGTTTTCAGCATGAAAAACGAGCAGCATACACATATTTTCCTCCTCCCTCCGTCCACAACAACAGACAAGACAAGATAAAATAAAGAGAAATAATTGTTAATTTACAAATGAAAAGAATATGTTAAAATCAAAATAAAAAAATTTGCAATGGCACACAAAATAAAGAAAAATCAAAGATTTATTAAGGCACACTGATGACTCATTCTCTGTATACACACATTTGAGTCTTGAAAAGGCGGCAGTGGCAGTGAATTTATATGAGAGAATAACTGAATGAGATAGCAATAGATGAGAAAAAAAGAACTTTGCGGTAGAGATCAAATTACTCGACAATTTACTGCCGCTTGTAAGTTGATGCAAAAGCCATAAAGTATGGAACAATAGCAATGGGAATTCTCATTGTTTGTTTCCACATGGCTCATATCCGAACATTGAAAAGGAACAAAAAATAAAAAAAAAAGCTCCATCAACATTAAAGAATGAATGAGAGAATTTGTCATTTTATTAAGTATTGTTGCTGCGAATAAAGAACTGTTGAAAAAAAAACGAACGACAGTTGACGAATTTAATTGAAATAAACGCCCACCTCTGCTAGAGAGCATTCACAATTCAAGTTTGTTCTGTATCTATCTAATTTATCCGCTATTTTTTCATTTTATTAATGCTATTTTTTTAGAATAATAATAATAATGTGTGTGAGTAGTTCCATATATATATTTTATACCATAACTGGAACTTGTCAGTTCTCGCTCAACGACTTTCTTTCTAACGCGACATAAGCACGACATGGCTAATGGTTAATGTAAACATCAAACAATTAAAAAACAAGACGAACTTTTTTTCGACTGAAATTAGATATTTTTTTCGATGGGAGACATAATATAGCTTGCGAGTTAGGGGCCGTTCACTTATGACGTCCAGGGTGGGTGGGGGGGGGGGGGGGGGGGGGGTCAGCAAGAAAAGAACAATAGTAATTCCAGGAAATGCATTGTTCTTTTTTGAAAAATGACCGTTAATTTCGAACGTCATAAGTGAACGACCCCTTAGTGGCATCTTAAAACTTAATATGAATAATATAAGCGCATATGAAATTATTTTTAATTCAAATATTTAACGGTATTTAAAGATTTAAAGTTAAAATTAAAATATTAACAAGAGAAATTCAAAAAGTTTACAGCCAATTGCTTGAAATTCTTTAAATGCCATCATAAATCACTTTTCAAGGTCGTGTAGTCAACCAAAATGAGCATCATTTTCCAAAAGATAAAGTTTCATTAGAAAAAGAAGAAGTTAAATCATGCGGAGGCGACGACATTGTGTGCTATTTTTGTATGTCGATTGTGCATTTATGAACTTTGCTATTTCATTTGATGATGTATTAAGTTCCATTGTTCAATGAACTGATGAGATGAGAGGCATAACTATAACTAAAGCTGTATATACTCAATGTAAATTGTTTTTGGGGTTTTCGTGGCATTTAAAATGCTGTTGCAATACAAGGCACAGCCAAAGAACTTGACCACATGAAATTAAGATGTATTCTGAGGCATGTACGCATAAGGAAACTTTCAAGTCCATAAAAAAGTTTTATTTTATTTACTACACTATGAAATTTTTTATTTCCATGTTTTTGCCTTTGATTTTCATGTCAATTCCTTACTACTATACTCGTTACCAACTGCCATATGAAAAGAATTAAAGAATTGTGGTGAGGAAAAATAACATAGAAGTATGTCTAAAATGGGAAAACAAAAGAAAGAAAAAGAACTTATGCCAAAAGTCCGTCACGAAACCTCTTTTTGAATATTTTTAATGCCGCTCGCGATTCAAATTACGTAATTCTCTAATGAGAATTAATTCTTTTCATTCACATAAGTTGAATTCTTATTTTATTTTTTTTTCTCATGTGTTTCTTTTACTCCAATTTCTCATTTGCTTATTGCTTCATTCTGTAGTTCATATTATTTAAAAGAATTAAAAAAAGCTTTTATGTTGAAACAAAAGATAACATCATCGTGTGTTTCTGTCTTGAATTTGGTTCAGTGAATCAAGTATATACTTTGAGAAGATTAAGATAGGTCAGTTTAGAGGTAGTTTGTGAATTATAATGACATGATTAATTTAAATAGTTTGAAAATCCTACAAATTATTTTAAAATATTTTCAAAACCTTACAAATGTTTTTGAAATTTAAATTAAATTAAACCGTTACAAATCAATAATACTGAAAACGTTTTCCATTACGATAAGAATAAGCATCTACAGCAAAAAAAATATCCAATTACCTTCAAATAACCCGAAAAAAGGATAAGAAGAGTCAGACACAATAACATCCAATCCAATACACATAATTTTTTTTCACATTCCAGAACTTTAAATTCTTTTCTCACATTCTCTTTCTCTGTTATTACAGTTCAAATGGCATCGAAAACGTCACGAGACAAATAAAAATAAAAATGCAATTTGGCGAGGACTTCCAATGAAACATGAGCGATACCTTTTTAATAAATTTTTGATGAGGAAAAGTGATTTTTTTTTCTCGCACACGACCTGCAGTAAATTTTGCATAAACATCAATCACTGTCGTGACTATTAGATGCTGATGAATAAATCTGACTATTGTTCATCGGCTACAAATTGAGCGATACCATTTCAAATTTATTCCATTTTTTCACGTAAATATACAACAACAACAACGACAACAGCGAATTGGGAAGTACACTTGACTGCATCGAATAATTGCAATATCTCATGTGATCGACTAATTCATTTTATATGTAATGAATACGTGCTCTTTTGTGGGATGGATGATCATCGAATTGAGGTACTGAATGATGAATGTAATGAGCAAAGCTATTCTTCAATCGACACACACAAAATGCCTATTTTGAATACATTCCGTGACATGTGAGGAATGATTATGCAATAATCATACATAATTCAAGTCAAATTGGAGATTTTTCCACCCACGAATAACAAACACATAAATAAATTCCTGTCATTCGACTAATGACTAATGAGCCTGAAATTTGCCTAAACCTGTTTGACGCTTTTCATGCCAGAAAAGAATTTTGCTATCGATTCCAGGTGTTCAACTGGATTACATTAAAAAATTTCCATTTAGTGAAATTGTTCAGTTGGCGCCAGTAAGTACAGCAAAATTCCTTTCTGAACTCCCTTTTAAGCAATAAAGTCGAGGTGAGCAAATTTTTCAGGTGTGTTAGTTGTTGGGGTTCATCGGTGAGAAACATCTGCAGTCAACAATGAGTGAAGACAAGGAAGTTCCAATATAGGTTGTTGCTGTAAAAAAAGTGTTCTTTTTGTGTTGAAACAAATCACATTTTCGTGTTTATTTTAACATTTTGTGAATAAAAGCATGACGAAGACTGTTTGTCGGAAAGGTATGTACTTGAATAAGTATAGAGTAATTGAATGATTCATTGGATTAGAAGCAGTGAATACATTAAGCAGAGTAATTGCTTAGCAGCTAGCTAGCTACAAAGAAAAAATGTGTTTTAAAGCAATTTTCACAGAAAGAAAATCAATTTTTGTAAGGCACGGAATCTCAAATGGAATGGGAAAATTAGCGAAATTGTTAATTTGTTGTTCTTAAGGTGTGTCTACTGCCTGCCGTAAATATGCTGCTATTCTCATTTTTTTATGATTTTGGTGTGGCACTTTCATTTATCATATTACACACACATTGCTTCTATCCACAAAACATGCGAGTTCGACGACTTATGCTGGAAGTACATTTTAACTGCGGAAAAAATAGAACAAAAGGTTGTAAGTTCAATTCTGGGTTGAGTGACATTAGCGTTATTTATTATAATGATCGATAGATTTTTTTCTATGATTCAATGCGGAGTCTTAAAGAATTAATAAAAGAAGTTTTGAATGCTCCTGACTACTTTCAAGATGAATAATCTCTGGTTTTACCCTCACTCAGGCCTCACAAAATCACAAAGAAATCTAATTTGCATTAGTTTTTTCAACAAGAATTTTTAAATTGGAAATTTTGTGGTTCTTTAGGAAGATATGTTGATTTGCTATGATAATTAAGCTTTGCTCACACCTTTTTAACACTTCTTCAGTGTTTAAAGTAGAATTAAACATTGTATTGCTTTAAAAATGAAGAACAAAATGCTCAGGTGAGAATGTAAACAAATTATTCTTTAAATTTCTTGAAATTTGACACTTCTTCTTAAATTGAAGTAAGATTACATAAATTAAGATGTAAACTGAGATAATAAGATTAATTATAGTAATTCTAATCTATTTAACCAGTAAAAATTTAACCTTAAAAAGACCCGCGATTGTTACTCAAAAAACTCGACATTTGCTCTTCATTTTACTCGCTTTTATTATTCAAATCTTGTTTAATTTTATATTTTTGAGAAATCTACATAAATATCTGAATAGAAAAACATCTTTAAAGTCATACAAAAAATATTAAAAATCACACTAGCATAAAATTGGTAGTAAAAGAATGTTTCACACTTTGTAGGAAAATGATTTAATGGTAAATTTCATGCACTTCTTATCACAGTAAATAGTTATTGTTATTATTACTTATTAGATGTTCCATTTTATAGAGGAATTAGAACCGAAAAAGTTCAAGTTTCAAGAACCTTTTTTTGTTACAATTTATTTTTAATGAGGTGAATTTAATTTTATGCCAAACTCGAACATTAAATGCCTTTTAGACTGCTGTATTGCTTTGTTACATTCTGTTAACTGAACTATATCTATAAAGTTATTGCTCAACTAATGTAATTAACATTTAAAATGTTCAACGCTCGTAAACTGAATACGTAAGTTTATCACTTATTACGTAGGTCATCACGAATAGTTTGGATCATACTACTATGAGCAGATGTAAGCTTACACCTTATTTAGCAGCAACTGTCTGAATATTTCCATTCCCATTCCACGAATCTTTGTTTTTACTTGCTGCAATGTCCATTGATTTTTTAGAATTTTGTATAAATTCCATCAGATTTCGACTCATAAAGTATGGCCTCGAAATTCCATCATTCATCTCACAATCCTCACAGAAACAAAGAAAGATTGTGTCAATTGTCATCTCGTAAACCGTCAAGAAACAATGAGAAACAAGAAATGCAAATATAGCACATAGAACTATAGGAACAGATGGATGATGAAGACCCGGCAAGTTCTACAACAAAGGAATTTTCTTCATTAAAGAATTTAAATTTTAAATTAAATCTCACTTGAATCATTTCAATTCCAATCAGTACTGTTGCAACAACGACAAAAACCTTCCCTAAAAATAATACAAAGTCGCCTACAGAATTGATGGCAATGACACGTAGTGCATTTGATGAAAGAAGTTGAAAGGCTCGCCTGCCAGCAATACAAAATGATGAGCCATCAATGGATATTATGATGTAAGCATTTTTACTTAAATATTGTAGGAAGCTTTCGAAACATGCCAAACAGCACTGACACATTCTCAAGAGTGCTGTCGTTACTTGATTTTGATAGTTTTTCAACATAGACTGAAATATAAAGAATTTAATAGATTTTTTATCCTTTTATTAATTAAATTGAATTAAATTATCCTTACCTCCGTCCATTTTAGAATAATCCTCAACAACTGTATAGTCGCAATGATAATCGAGCCAAGACAAATACTCCCAAGATGATATCTTATCAAATGTCCAAAGCTCATTAAAATGGGTAACTGTAATTTGCTTTTATTGCGTGTAAAAAACCACTTTGAGACGGAACCAGCTATAATAAAATCTTGACATCCATAAAGGAACTGTATGAACCATAGGAAGGCGAATAAATTCACCCATCGTGTAGCTGACATTACACCATCTTTTATGTAACTTATCTGCTGAAAAATAATAGAAATAAAGCAGACGGAGAGAATTTTATGTTAATACTTCATCATTTTGTGTCTTTTTATGATTTCGTTAGGAATAGCATTACAGTTGAAAGCTTCAATAACTTGATTGAAAGCCTTGAGCTCATTATTTGATTAAAAATTTGAGGATATACACCAAAGCACTTCAAATGTTTAGGATAGAACTTTACAATTCCTCAAAAGAACCCTTCAATTTTCCTTCGAAACCATACAAATTCCAACAATAGTAAAAATTGCTTAACATTCACTAAGTTAATCAAAAAAACTTTATAGTTTGCTTCTAACTTATGCATCACGAACAGAATGCATTAATTTTCAATTCAAGAATTCATTAATATAAAAATAAAAACGTTGTCACCTTCATGGATGCCCCAGATGTTGACTCATGCACCTCAAGTTTACCGGCACTTTCAATCATTAATACAATATAAAGCCACAAAGCGATTGTTCCAATCAAAGCTCCAAAAGTCTATTGAAAAAAGGTGGAAAAGAAGAAGAAGAAGAAAATCATTGATTGAGTCGTTCCTTCATGAATTTTTTTGGGGTATATAATTAAATAATGAAAAAATAATAATGACTAATTACATCATTAAGTATGCATGACTATTTACCAACAAAGGTTCAAAAAGCAGTACAGGCATGTCTGATAAAGCTTTTCCTGCCTCTTTGAAAAGTTCTACAACTAGTTTGATGCGTTTCCTCATAATAAGAAGCATAAGTAAAATGATGACAGTTATGCATGTTGCAATAATTGCTGCTACCAAATATGTCATGACTTTCTCGCTATCTGGATCCTTTCTATATTGTGCATATTTCACCCATAAAAAAATCGTTGCTATAATACTAACGACAATGGAAGCAAAAAGAACAATCCACACAACAAATCCGACGACAAATCGAAAAAGCACAAGAACGATGAATGAGAATGCAAAGGAGATAATGCAGACATAAATAATTTCACGCCAACATTCTGATAAGTCTTCCGAGACATCTTGAAAATAATTGACAAGTCCTGTCCTCGATAAAAGATTTTCGCTTGTTACTTCGCCTTTATTTGTCGGTACACATCTATTAAGGAATGTTCGATATCCACTAACTGTATTACATGATTCAACACATTGTCTATGGATATATGGATTGTCTGGATCATAATTGTTTTGTGTCTTTTCAACCAGCAAGAACTTTTCTTTTCTTTTGTCAGCACCCTGCAAAATTAATTAAGTTACTGCATAATTACATTAGGGACATGTCAAGCATACCTTGCATCCTAATTTATTATCCATTTCATTAATAACACCGCCTGAGATTAAGAATGCATTTAAAATCGTGAATAACGGAATATCTCATTAATAATTAATTATTTTAAACATACAAACATTCCCACAATCATCATATCCATTAAGGATCCGATAGATATTTCCATGTACAATACAATAGCTCACGAGAACTGCCTGCATTTCAGTACAAAGAGAAAGTATTAATTACATTTGAAGGAAATTGACAACACATAAATTCCATTGAGTAATCTAATGTAGATTAAATGATAATGAAAGTGCATTTCACTTACCAGGACGATTATGAATGTAATATGAAGGATTAGAAAGAATACATCAGTGCAGCCGCGTTTTACTGGCGCTACTTGCACGCTGCGTTGAGTTATTGTCGACTAGAAAAGGGTTGGAGTTAGACATGGTTCATGAATAATGCAAAGAGTTTGTTATATTCAAAATTATTGCTTCGTATGGCTTTAAAAGCATTTCAAAAATTGAATTCATGAATTTCAATTTTCAACGAACTTTTTTCATTCAAATTTTGAATTTTTGAACCTTAAATTTTGCTTTTTTGAACTTTAATAATTTAAATTTGAAAAACCCGTTGAAACTGAATAAAGTTCAAGTCAAGCCTTAAAAGACTTTTTAAAGGAACCGCAAAACAATTCGGTCAAAATAAACTTTTAAAATCCACTTTGTAAAGTTTCAAGGAATTTGTTATTCTGTGGTCTTGGCAACGACATTGCACTTATGCGGTTAGCAAACCCCCTCCTTAGAATAAGAACTAACCGAATAAAAGAATGTCAAAGAATTCATTGATTGTCGAAATTGCAGGCTAATATCCTATCTTGTTCACACATTCTCTACCTCGGTCAATTGAAACTTAATTAACACTTACATTCGTACCGCTTCCAATCAATTCCGGCGACACTTTTGATTCTCTTTTTTTACGAATGTCGTCACTTCCACAACAACACAAATAATCACACATCTTTTTTTTAATAGATACTTTTGCACAAGAGAATGTAATTAATGAAATGACTGTGATTGATCCTTTTTCAGACCAAAATGAAGTTCCTTTGAATCAAACATAATAGCTACTGCATTCAATGCACAACCGCTTTCCACAACATGCAAACTGCGACTGTCTTTTCACCTTCTTGATTTACCACATATGCTTCATCTAATATATTTTATATATTGGACAGCAATATAGCTGGCAAACATTTATTCATTGGAATGTCCAACTTAACTATTTGACTTGATAGTGTCCTGGCGTGTTGCTTCTGTTCTATTTTTATTGTAATTACTTTCAATTTTTAATTATGAATATTGCATTTTGATGACTTATTTTTATCCTTTTTGTCCTAATTCGATGACCTATTTATGTATATCCAAAAACTTTCATGAATATTGAGCACCGTAAGTATGCGACACTTTCGATTTGTTGTCCATCAAGCAAATGACTGTATTAATAAAGGCATGGAAAAAAGTCAATCCATTATTTATTAGTGTAGGATTTCCATCATACATGCTCTATACAAAAACTTATAACTGCTTATTTAAATAGTCGATTTATTGACAAATAAAGGCATTCATCGATAGTTCTGATTGATAAGCTAAGCATATGATAAATGACCGTTATGTAGTAATGTTGTTTCAAATAGGACACGCTGTGTATTTTTTGAATGCAGTTGATTAATAAATTAATGTTTGTTTGTGGATAGAAATAGGACATAACAACGAAATCATGCGATCTGTTGAGGTATTTATTGTATTGTGAGCAATTAATGGAATGATGGAAATGTAATTAAAAAGCATTGAAATTTTTTTTTTGGGTGACGAAATTTGGGCATTTTGCATTTTGGTAAGACTTCCAAATGTATTGCTACACTCTTTTTTGTTGAATCTAATCTCGCCTTATCCTTGCTGAAAGTAAAATAAAAATGCGTCGTATACTTAAGTTTTAAATCCAATTGTTCTGTTTACATTCATTTACAATTACAATACACGTGACAAAGTTAAAATCAATCGATCAGAGCTTTTCAGAAATATATAGTCATAATTTTAAAATTTGATACTGCATTATTAGTTCCTTGTTTAACCTTCAGGTTGAGCATTAATTTGCTCGGTGATTATTGAAGTTATTTTGTTCAAAAATATGGTATTTTCCAAAATTTCACCAATAAGCATGTCGAAACTTGGTGGACAGTTTGATGACAGTTGTACCTTAAACTTTTCGATGGCTGTATCATTATTTGCAAAACTGTTTGTGCAAATGTTATTCTGAAAATATGCATACTTTAAAGAAATCAATGGTGCTAAAAGTTTAGTTCCTGTGTTGGTCAATGCGTTGGATTCAAAATCGATGTAGATTAGATTAATGTTTTGAGCAAAAACATTTCCATCAAGAGTCTTAATTGAGTTGTTCCACAATATCAAAATTTGTAGAGCTGGCAGAGGACTGATGTCATCCTGAGATATTTGATTTATAGACGAACTCTTCAAATCAAGAACTTTCAAGTTTGGAAAGTGATCTCTAATTTTCTTTGGAATCGTTTGAGTTGGCAATGCTTGATTCGTCAAGTTTAGACCTGTGACATCTGAGCTTTTCTTTCCTTGAATATGATTAAGAAAGACATATTGAATAGTATCATCAGCATCGAGAAGAAACATAGCTTTTGCATGGCATGTATAGATGTCAGGAAGAATCGAATAATTCGAGATTTTAAAGGTGCAGTCAATAACCATCCCATTTGCTGGCAGCAAATATGTGAGGATCACGGCAAGTAATACAAACTCCTTCCTATAAAAAGTTTTTTTTGAAGTTAAAAGCTTTGAAAATTTAACGAATTTACTCACATTTTGATGATTTCTTAAATGATATAGTCTTTGGGAACTAAAGCTTTAATCTGATACAAATGTCATTTTTTGATATCATTTTATACTGCACTTTATTATCTTTCATAGTGCATTATTTTCTTTGATAAGATCCATCAAGTATTAAAGCAAATAGAAATTTCAGGGAATTGTTTGCTTTAAGTATAATAAAATAATTAATTTAAGTCTCACTATTTACTGTTTGTTTGAATAGCTTTTATTTGTAGCTAAGCGGTGCTTTTTACAAATAAAAGATTATTCAAGCAAACAAAAAAGCTCTTGATAATATGAATCAACAAGTATCAAGCAACTTTTAAAATAAAAGTTAAATCTGTAACTTATTTTTGTAAATTCAAAATTAAGCACAAATTCAGTATTTTGCGATTCGCAAGGCAATAAAGTGAAAAAAAAATCTCGGGAACTCTTTTATTAATTTGCTGTCTTAAAAATGGCTCTTTCATTGTTAATTCGTTCATCATCTAGACTTCCACAAGGTAATTAATAATACTATGCAGTTGCCGGCTAAGGATATCCTTAAATCTTATTGCATAACATTTTGTCAATAAAAATCCCCAACGCAATAAATGTTTTCATTTTTTTTCTTCTTAATTCCAGTCTTAATTAATTCATCACGAATTACCGGAGCATCTTTCACGCCGATACTCGCAAAGCAGATCAATTTGAATGTAAGATTCAATACTTAACACCATTGGCAATGTCAACGTCATTAAATTTTTGTTTGTTTTAGAATGTTCGTCCAATTTCTGTATCTCCAATTCGTCAATCAGCTACAGGAAATCACGTAGCAATGTGGCAAGCAGAAAAGGCTCTTTCACTTGGATTATTGGGATTAATTCCAGCATCTTTCCTCGTTTCCACACAAGCCACCGATTATCTAGTCTCATTGGCACTAGTCGTACATTTTCATTGGGGTATGGAATCAATTGTCACAGATTACGTTCGCGAATGTCTTTTTGGAAAATTCGTCCCTAAAGCTGCACACGCTGCTCTTTTGTTATTCTCAGCAGCTACTTTGGCTGGTCTCTTCATGATGGCTTATAATGATCAAGGATTGACCAAAACTATCAAGAAAATCTGGGCTATTCAGCCAGCAAAGTAAACCAAAATTATATAAAGTTTAATGTCTCATTAAAATTATTGTTTTAAAAAATTTCACACATTTAATAAGAATGTAGAAGAAGTCAGTCATGTTAAAAAGTTATTATAAATGAAGGAACTGCAAATTGTATTGCTTTGAAATAATTTATTTTCCAAATATAGCAAAAAGCGAACAAATATTAAAAGTAACAAAACAACTTTGGATATCTTGATCTATCGTTTTTGACCCGTCAATATACAATTGTCATTATTCATATTTCCAGAAATCACGTCTTTGTTCCTTTTACATTATCTCTATGAAACAATCTAAGTGCTTCCCATTGAGCTCTATGTAAGAGTATGTGCGGTCTACAATTTCTCATATGTTCTACTGCTTGTTCTGGACTCCACTTATTCCTCATCATTAAATAACAACCAACTAATGTTGCTGAACGCGTCCTGCCTGCCTTACAATGAACATAAACGGTTCCAATCTCATTTGTATCATTATTGCTATGACTTAGCGATAAGTCCTTGATTTTTGACTCTTTCGTCAGGAATGAATTCATGAAATTAACTCCATTATTAAGCTTCTCTTGATTTGGAGATTCAAAGATATCTGTCGTTGGAAGTTGTAGAAATTTCACTCCTACATCTTTCCATTGCTAAAATTTCATATTAAAATAAAAATCTATTTTTAGAATGAACATTAGGAATGAGAAAATGCGTCAATCAAGTACATACCTCAGCATTATTCGATAGAAACCATAACTCATAATCTTCATTCATCGACACAACTCCTTTGATGTTCTCTTTTTTCAGCAGCTAGACAAATGGAGAAGATGTAAATATTGGTATTGTTAATTAATTGCGAACATGGATGAGTTGTGGCTGTAAACTGGATTTTTAAAATATTATGTGTCTGGATTGTAGATATAGAAAATTTTAAGTGCTGATTTCTATTGAGTCTACTTGACTTATAATATTATTTTTGATGTGATCTGAGCTGTTGTTGGGACACTTTCCCCACCTCCCTTATTAATTAAATAAATCATAACGAGCATGTTATGATGCCCCTTAATTGTTAAACCATAACAATAATGTGCAATATTTAAACGACTGATTGTTAAATTGAGAAATCTGTCCATGCAATTATCACATGAGTACAACAATTAAGGAAGTACTTTCTATGATCAATGCCAATCAATCATGTCTTAATTTCAATCATTCATGGTCAGTCAGGTGAAATCTGCCAAAAACCGTTATCAGCATACAGTTTTAAGTTTATCTCACACTTCATTTCCATAGAATGCCAATCAAAGCTAATTCTTGGAAACAAAATAATTTTCATTCTCACAATTGAGCATAATGAATAGAAATGCAGCATATCTTACCTCTGGCACCATATATCGGAATGGAAGAGCGCCTAATATGACATTTTCATCGATTCGATTGTACCATTGTCGAGCTGACACTCTCTCCATAAAAACATTATAGAATAATGATGGATAGAAAGTCACACGTGCGAACATTGCCTATATATGTGATTTGATTTGAGAAGAATATATTATGATGTCAATGTCAATAAGATGAGTCTATAAGAGGAATTAAGTCAATAATAATGTATGTACAACTTATTGCACAGAGTGATGAGTTAAAACTGAATGAACGATTGGAATGGAAATGGAAGTAGAAAGTCAAAAAATATTGTTAGTGCTGCTCACTCACCAGTGTCATCTTCGATATATTATCAAAAATCTGTGACGTCATAAAAGCTGTTGGAATCGGAAGTAAGAAAAAAACCAGTTGTTGACCAACACCAATAAGTATGTTATAATACAATAGGTAAGTCTCACTTTGGAGATACTAGATGAGAAAAATTAGCATAAAATAGTAAATTTCCATGCTTTTCCTTTTTATACATCCTTGCTACTTTGTTATCACGGCTTGATTAATCCATGAAATGATTAATTGACTTACCCTTATTATTTGCTAATTCAACAATTAATACCTATTAAATACATTAAATAAATACACTTTAGAAAAAGAAAGAAGGTGATTCCTTATGTAAAAGAAATAAGGTCAATAATAATCGGTTGCTTGACGTGCGAATCGCAAAATTTCACTTCCAAAACCGCTATTCGATGAGATGGACATACATATAGTTCTCCTTAATACTTATCTTGTCTGGTTGACTTTCATTATGATTTACTAGCTGATTATCCTGGATCTTATTGCCTATACATACTCTGAATCCATTCAAACTAGTAAATATTAATCCCTTTCAATAATTTCCATCAACCAGCCAAACTTTAACAAGTATCTAGTCTATGATTGACGGGTAGTAAGCTAGTGAAAACAAATCATCATGCTGAAAACTTTAATATTTTCAAAATCAATTAGTTCCAAATTTACGCAGCTTCTCAATGTAAATAATGCAGCACTGCAACAAGTTAGAGTAAGTATATCCATCAAACAAGCTGTCACGACATACTTACTGGATCTTCATTGAATTTTCAGACAACTTTTGTATTGAAAAGATTATATCCAGTTGAGCTACATAAGAAGAATGAAAAGCCGAGGAAGTTGAGAGGAAAGCATTACAATTATGTCATGGTTGAGGACAGTAATACAAAGAAGCAGCCAGATGTTGAAGTTGTCTTGAAACAATTCGTAAGTGGAATTGGTAGAAAAGGAGAAGTTGTAAAATTACGTCCAAATTATGCTTATAATCATCTTCTGTTGACTGGATTAGCTGATTATGTGACTCCAGAGAATGTTGAAAAGTATAAGCCAAAACTGGGCGAGGATAATGAGGAAGAGAATCACAGTTCACAATTTGCACAACGAGTAAGTAAATTTTACATCATAAATGCTCTTATTAATTAAGTTACATCCACTTACAGACAGTAAACATGCTTCAAAATCGAGTGTTTGCAATAGTTATGAATAAGGAACAACCATGGGTCGTAGAACCGTGGCATATAAGAGCTTCATTACGTAAATGTGGGTATTACATCAAATCAGACAGTTCCATTGAGCTTCCTAATGAAAAAATCACTGGACCAGACATGATGAAACAAAATAAGGAATTCTACGTTACAGTCACAATTAATGGACTAGAAAAAGCTCGAGTTAAATGCCGAATTCATCATTGGAGTACTGATCCTAGTGATCGATTGCCATATGTCTATGAGCATTGGCTGCAATCAGCTGAGCCTATTATCCCAGAAGACACTCCCCGTGCTGAATAGAAATTGATTATTATAAATATAATGCGTTAGATTTAAAAATAAAGGAAAATAATGAGTTTAAACTAATCTATTGTTTGTGCTGTGTTATCTGAATAATTATCAATAATTATACTAATTGAGATTACTTCAAACGGATTAATTGATTGTGTATGGCTAACGTCAAAGTCTATAAGCAATCGTTCGATTTGTGAAGGATTTGTTTGACATTTTTTTTATGATTTATTTTCCGCGATATCCTTCATCTTTATTTACGTATAAGTATTAAGTTTTGACATAGATTATAAGGAAATAACCGAGTCATTAATATTACAAACAAATGTTTTGTTTCCGTGATTTTCGCATTCCAGCAGCTTTTTTATAATTTTTGAAATATTTCAAAACCCTTCAAATGTTCTGAAAATGACAAATCAAAGCCTTTCAACAGTTCGAATGTTTTAAAACCCTACGAATTCAATTAAGAGTTTAAAATAAGAAAATCTGTTAAATTTTGCTAGCTGTCTTCTGAGCAATAGAAAAGTAGATTAATGTCCTCAATTTGGTTCAATTGAAAATAAACAAGCTACAATTTTAGGTCATAGAACAAAATTACTTAAATATATCCACAAGTGTGTTCTTATCAAGTCATACAGTCATGTAGAAAGGTAGTAAATACACAAGCCTTTTTTACTTCTCTCGTAAGATACTCAACTATATGGCTTAATTATATAATTTCCCCAAAATCTACTTAATCGTTATCAGTTATCAGCCAGACCACCACGAGTGCTGCAATCATACATGTATCGAAATGTTTTGTTGTTAACAATGATAATCTCTTTACTGCGCATTCCCGAACTCAAATATATTGTTGCAATCATTCCTTTTATCCAGACAATATTTTTTTTTGTGTATGTTATCAGTGTCTGACTTTCTGAAGATGTTGAAAAATCAATAATTTTAGTATAGCCATTACTTTTAATATTTTTAAAGAGAAAAATAAAGCAATTGATTGCTTCTTTGAGTGTTTTTCCTCGAGAGTCTACTTGATTGACAAAAACAGTGACAAAAGGAGAGTGTAAAGGCAAGTAGTTCTTTAAGATTTAGATAAGGCTGTTACTTTTCTTTTTCTTCAACACGATTCGTGATTAGTAACAATTATTTGAGCTAATCTGTCTGAATGCCTTAAATATCTCAAGTGTAAGTGACTGATTTGTGTCTTGATTTATAGAAATATTGTGCCAATTAATCAAAATGGCGAGGATGATAAAAGATAAGACTTTTTGCTAGTCGACTAAGCTTGTTGAACTTTCTTCATAGCAACCAGCATACTTTAAAGGAACCAAACAAAAACATTTGCCAAATTTACAAAATTATCAAGAGCCTGAAATAATCACGAATGGTCACCGACGGTGGGGATCCTTCTTTTTTGTTCACCTTAAAAATGAAACGCCAAAATATCCGAACTTTATCATTAGTCGTCTGTACCTTCACATATTTGCTCGTGGGTGCTGCAGTCTTTGACAGATTAGAATCAGGTATGTATGTCAATTTATTGTGAAATCATGACTCCTTTCAAGACTTTAATTGGATTTCGCAAATCATTTTAAATCACTTGAATTGTCTGTGATTAAATATAGCATTGATTAGTGCAGATTAGTGATTTTTCAAGTTCAAGTTTCAAGTTCCATGTACTACACCTGCTAATCAAAAGTTTTAGGAAAATTCCACTATTTAGACACATGGTTGAAGCTATCAAAAAGTAAAGTCAATAATTTAACGGTGATTTTTAATTTAAATGTTCGAAAACCATACAAAAACAACTCAAAACCTTACAAATCCCCCTAAAGTTTAAAAACCGTTAAAAATTTCACTTTTTTAGAAAATGAAGCTATTCGGTGGGAATTTCTCAAATCAGCAAAAGAAAACTTCCATAAAAAGTACAAAATGACTGAAGAAGATTATAGGTACGTTATTTGCAGCACGCATTCTCTATATAACTACCAAGATAATTTTTTTTTTATAAATTTAATATCTTTTATTGCAGAATGCTGGAAATTGTTATCATAGAGAATAAGCCTCATAAAGTAATATAATATTTCATAATTCTAATGAGATTTTACAGCAAGCATGACTCATTTGTTTTCACAGGCTGGACCACAATGGAAATTTCTCGGTGCATTCTATTTTGCGACTGTTGTTTTAGCTATGATAGGATATGGACATTCAACGCCTAATACGAATGCTGGGAAGGCATTCTGTATGATATATGCTATGGTTGGAATTCCTCTTGGTCTTGTTATGTTCCAGTCGATTGGTGAGAGGCTGAATAAGTTTGCATCCGTGATAATTAAGCGATTCAAGATATTTATGAAATGCACGCAAACGGAAGCGACAGAGATAAATTTAATGGCTGCAACAGGATTCTTGTCATCAATTATTATTTTAACTGGAGCAGCTGTTTTTAGCAAATATGAAAATTGGAGTTATTTTGACTCGTTTTATTACTGCTTTGGTAAGATTCACGTTTCATGATATAGCTCGAGCTTTATGATATGCTCAATAGCTTGTGTTAATTATCGCAAAATTTTCTTTTTATACCCAAAAAAAGTGACATTGACGACTATCGGATTTGGAGACTATGTAGCCCTTCAAAACGATCGAGCGCTTCAAAATAATCCAGGATATGTAGCACTATCGCTTGTATTCATTCTCTTTGGACTCGCTGTTGTTGCTGCTTCCATCAATTTATTGGTCTTGCGCTTCATGACGATGTAAATTTCATAATTTGACGTTAAAATTTCTTATCAATGATGACATTTCAATATTTTATAGGAACGCTGAGGACATGAGGATTGAAAATGAAGAACTTCAACGTCAGCAATTAAAGTACAATCCACAAATTGTGACAGTTGAGGGCGAGAGAGATAACATATCGAATAAATTAATCAATTCATCGGTTAATGAAGACCAACAATCAGTATGCAGCTGCAATTGTATGGGAACAAGCAGTGAAAATGGTCAATTAATTGACGGATATTTGCCAACGGATCTCATAACTAGTGCTTTGAGCTTGAAAAGAGCGTCAGTGTAGAAAGTTCTTGATTTTTTTTGAAAGACAAATGACTCGACACTTTTCCTCTGACAAATCAGTGACTAAGAATTAAGAATGTCAATGAATTAGGAAATTCAGAGAGCAACGAGAAACTTTTAAAATTTCAAAGGTTTTTAAATATTTAAATTTATAACGACTATTTAAAATTTGAATATTTTTGATCCTTAGTCAAAGATGATTATTTATAAATTTCTTTAAATTGTCTTAATTATAGTGAGTCATTCAGTCGCTGAACATGACATGACATTTAATACAATTAACTAGCACAGTGAGCAAGCTCAAAGTCCAAATAAACACAATTAAAATTGAGTCTCAAAAATGCAGAAATTCCAATCAAAATAATTTGAATTCAAAAAAGCTGTTGAAAACGGAAAATTTGTTTATAAAATCAGTTAAACTTTATTTATTACTTATGTACATATACAAAACTCATGCCAAATTTTCAAAAAATAAAATATAGAGATAAAAACGCAAAAGTTTTCGATAGAAAATTTATTACGAAGCAAAATGATATGGAAACTTACAGCATGACTATTTGTTTTTACTACAAATTATTATTTTATTTATTTTAATAGATTTTAATATTGTTTATAATTCATGAAAATGGAAAGTCTTTCTAAAATACACCAGTCAAATCTGACCTTTCTTTATTACATGGACTTATCACATTGATTTACTCAGTTTATTAACAAAAATTTCTCGGTGAATTTAATGCAGATTTAACTCAGTAATGTACAAAGGTTTGTTGAGTGATTTACTGTAATTTCTGATCGAATAAGAAGTCAGCCAGCTCACCACCGTTATCCTTGATCATCTTTCCGAGAGTTGAAATCTTTCCGGCAATGTCACGCTTGCCCTTGTATTGTTCTGTCAAGAACTCACCGGTAAGGTAGTCAACGAACTGTTTTAGGAGGAGATAAGACGTTAAAATACATACCTAACCTGTTTTTTCGTTATAAGCTACTACTCGTTACTAAGCTACTAGCTTAGTAAAGTTTTTTTGAACTTGAAAATTATTTGTAATCTTTACTAAGCTACTACCAAAAATAAAGCTTAATTAATCTTCTTCAACTTTCTAAGGATCAGTTCCAATGCCTTACGACATTGTCAATGAAATGAAATCGAGAAGATAGCAAAACCTCTTTAATTAAGTTAAGAAATTCAAAATTTTCATTGAAGTTCAATTTCTTTACTAAGCTACTACTCGTTACTAAGCTACTAGTGAGCCAAAAAAATCACTTTTTTATTCTTCTAAGCTACTAGCTTATAACGAAAAAACAGAGTACTAATAATAAGGCATTAAAATACATACGTGGTAGTCATTGAAGACTTCATCATTCTTGCCATCAACCTTCTCAGCTTCGCAGGCAATGATCAAATTTCTGATGCTCTCAGTGACTGCATATTCCATTTTTAAGGCAGTTCTCAATGATTCCATACCAGCTGAAAGTCCATTGGCACGTGGCTCTGGTGCTTTCATCCAACCATGATCTAGTCCGAGTGCCTTAGCTTGTTCTGATTCCTTAATCAATTGACCAATATTGATGTTGCTAATAATCGTATCTTGAATGTCGAAATATCTGCCGCGCATTTGCAAGTATTCAATGAGCTTATGTGCATGCTCACGTTCCTCAGATGCAGCATCGAAGTAGAATTTAGCATATCCAGGACGATTGACATTGTCTTGGCTGAAGTATGCTCCATAACTAAGATATTTCAATGATGCTGTAATTTCCTTCTTGATTTGATCTTCTGTTAATTGAACACATCCTTTCTTCATGTCAACAAATTCAATGTTGTTAAGATGTTCGCGTGCTGAGACATCACCTAAATTGTTATCAAAAGGAACAGTATGGAAGGAATATTAATTAGTAAACAACATTTATGTGCTTCGGGTATTTTCGTGAAATGTCTAATGGCTGATATTAAATTGTTTTTATTTTTTTGCAAAGTCAGTGACTTGATGGACAACATCATTTGATCTTTGCTCTATTTTATGTAAAATCCATCAATGCGCAATTAAATTGCGAGAGAGAAGGAAATTAGAACTTTCAATGACTTTCTCTCACACATGTAATACAGCGCTGGATGTCATATACAAGTAAAATTGGAAGTAGAACGGATCAGTGTTTGAGGTTGATTCTTAAGTTTTCAACTTTTATTTAAAAAAATTGATTCTTAAAAACATCTTTTTTTCGACTGTAAACCCTGAATCTGAACAAAGACATTGAATATTTAATAATATAGACTTATACTTACATGTATCAGCTGATACAGAGGCAAATACGCAGATAATAGCAGCTAGAATTCCAAATTTATTCATTCTGAACTTTTTTTTTCAATAATAAAAATATTAAATAGAAATTTAAGTTTGTTCCTTTGTTGTAGATTTGTGGATTTTAAATTGATTTGTTCCTCACTAATCGCAAAGAGTAATAGATCTCCTATTCAAACTTTGACGACTATTCTTTATAAGAAGTCACACGCGAATTTAGTAAATTAAATATGAGCGAGAAGTTAAATAGCCCGACTGTTTTATTCAATGTCTTGATTACTATTAAATGCTCTCTACAATCTCAAAAGCTATAGAAGAAAAAGTGAAATTCCACACGACACTATAGCTTCCAATACATACAATGACTTGTTTTGAATAATACAAAAGTCACTAAATCCACCATTTTCTTTATATCATGCTTTACTTTTCTTGTGACTTCTCGAATATTCATTTTTGCACACGACCCCTCATGATTCTCGTCAGTCATTGTGTTTGAGTGATATTACTGCTTATTTTTGTTTCATAAAATCGACATTTCTAAATTTCCCATTCATTAAGAAAGACGTGAATTTTTTAGTTCTGTGTGAGAGGCGCAAATTAAAAAGTTTAGTCGGAATCAATCCTTTAAAACAAGTCAATCAAATCCAATAAATTAAATTCTTTGTTGAATTAAATCAAACATTTTAAAAAAGATTAAAAAAACTAGTGAACAAAAAAAGATCCAGTAAGACACAATGAAGTCCATTATTATTCTCTGTCTTGTTGCTTTTGCTTCAGCAAACTTATCAACAGATTCTGGAAAGGTATGTGTAAAATTTTAATACATAGAGTACATGACTAATATAATAATAATCATATGTCATTCGACATTGTGTATGGCAGTAAAAAATACAAAGAAAATAAAAATAATCAATGCTTGTTACTGTATTTCACAGAGTCTCGAGACACCATGTCCACCAGAAAATCTTTTCGGTGAGGTTGAGGCACAAGATTGCTGCTCCAATCCTGATAGCTGTGTTGAGGGTAAGTTTATAAAGCAATTAATAATACGCACTTGCTGATTGACCTTAATTGGCACTAAATGGAACGTCATTTGCAATGTATTGCAATTTCTAAGTATAAATCAATAATAATAATTTACCCAGGAAGCAGTTAGTCATAACAGATTCTGTATTTTTCCACACAGATGCAACATCAAGAATCGTCGACGCCTCAAAAGTTGATGTTTATGATGAATTCATTAAGTACGCCAATGAATACTTAACACGCTCATATGAATACTTCTTCTTAGCTGCTCAATTCGGAACATACAGCAAGGATCGTGCTGGATTTGAAAAGTTGCTCAATGGATTATCAGACAGCGCATGGAATAGAGGCATTGATATGATCAAGCAAATGGCAAAACGAGGAATTCCTCATAGATACATCTTAAACAAAGACATTGAAGGTATCGTTTCAAGTGCCAATGTCACAGAAATGGCTGCAGTTGCTAAAGCCGCTGATATTGAAAAGAATCTTTTGATCAAGGCAAATGACATCCATCGTCATCACTCACATGCCTCCTTGACTGCATCCCCATCATGCGGATATGATGCATCATTGTCCCATTACATCGCTGAAGAAATCATGGAAGAGAAGGTTGATACAGTCCGTACATTGACTGGATATACCAATCAACTCAAGAGATTGTTCAAACAAGATCCAAAATTATATCCATTATCACTTTTCATGTTCAATCAACAACTTGAATAAACTTTCTAGTTGATTTACCAATTTGTACTGAAAAGAACATGCTTAACATTCTAGGAAAGAAGTATAATATTATTAAAAATTGCTGTGTTATTTTTCATCATCTCCTTAATAGAAACTGAAAAGAACTGCAGAATTGAGACATTTAAGATGTATTTAATTCCATTTTTTGTTCCATTTCCTTAGTTTTTTTTTTTTGTCACAGAAAAGATAATTAAAGTATAATAAAAATTACGTATTCTTGTAAATACACATAGTAGATTTTTAAATAATTAAATAAAAAAAATTCCATAATTAAATAGAAGTCAACATGCTTACAGACATTCCTTTAATCTTCAAATTTCATCATTTTCAGTAAAGTTGAGAATCATTTGGACAGCATTGATAATGTCAATGATGTTTGTTTGGATGTATTCAAGAGTTTTTGCATGCTCAGTCCGCATGACTGTTTCAAGGTGCCTTTCCAGCTTTTCTTTGCTTACGTCATCCATTTATTTCTAGAACAAATAAGAAGTAAACAAGTCTCGGTTCGAAACCTCAATGATATTTCACAATCGCTCGTGACAGTTCAAATCCTGGGAGGAGCTTAAGTGCTCAAAGTTCGATACCATTTGAAATCTTTGGAGATATCCGGGTTGAAAGCAAATTGATTGCAAATATTTGATTTGCCATTTTGGAATGACTCAACAAGATTTTTTATTTAATTTTAAATTGTTATCGATTAATAAGTTTTATAGGAAAAATGTTTATTTCAAGGATTTAAAGTCTGTTGTTAAGCACTAATGCAGTCAAAACATTAACGGTTCTTAAATATTCAAACTTATAACGAATTGCAAGAGTTCAAATTTTGAACTTAGAAGTGAAATTAATTCAAATTGAGAAATTTTGTAAATTAACAGCTTTTGTAAAATCAAATTTAAATTTAAAGAATACGTTATTCATATCAATAAACGGTTATTAACATTTGTAACGTACTTTTACCACGTTTTTCTTAACTTGCTTTCTTATCTGTTTATCTGTTTGTCGAGTTCAAATCTTGTGATCAATTTTTCGACCACTTCTACTGCTCCATTTGAGCTGAAATTTTGCTTGCACTTATCTTTCCGATGACAATACAATATTCAAGCATTTTGGAAACTTAAAACTGCTTAATTATAGTACAATTGAATTAAATTTTCTACTCTTTAAGGCTTAGCTTATTTTTACATAACATATGCACAACTTTCAATTATTTTAAATTTCAAAAAACCGTTATAAGTTTGAATAACAAAAAAAATACGTTATACGACTTTCTATGGTTTAATTCTTGTTTACAAACTTATGCTGTGCGATTGCACAGCTATTCGATGAAGACGTTCTGTAGTAAGAGTCTAGTTTACAAACTAATGCAGATCGTATATCATTAATGGTGTATATTTGGTAAGCTTAAATTTCATATAAATGCGCCCACGTTTTAAGATGTAGAATTATACGATATGGTCGAAGTGAACAAAATTGCAATTCATGTATGGTCATGACTTTAGTATAAAACTTTAATATCAATCTCAAATTTTCAAACCAATATCCTTTGAACCCAATAAAAGGGTTATTTTCTACTTTTAAGTCCACGGGTAAAAACGTGGTTTTTCAAAATGTTTTTTTTATAAAGTATTTTCAAATTTAAATGAACTGGAATGAATTGAACTTGAATTTTCAAACTCAGTTCAATTACAATTCATATCAATTCATTTAAATTTCAAATATCCGTTAAATTTTTAAATACCTTCGAAACATATGATTCAATTAAGCAATTAAACTCACCTATTTTACAGCAATCAACAAAACTCAATTTCTGGAATATTCTCGTCTACAAAAAATTTGGATAAGGTAGAAAATAAAACAAAAAGTAAAAGACTATTTTGATAAGTTTTGTAATCTCAACAACTTTTATTCAAGTTTCATTTTTAATTAATTTGAAATAATCAAGGGAGAAAAGAATGTGAAAAAATCTCACAAGTTTTGACGGTAACAATCTTTATTAAATAGAAAAATTAGGAGCTTATTTGTTTTGACAGTAATCGAGTTAAAGCGAGAATCAAAAATGATAAAAAAGAAGCTTAATTATCATCAAGTATTCGCCAATCGAATTTTGAACATGAATTGTGTGTAAGTGTTAGGCACGGAGGCTCAATTAATTGGTAATTATGATCATCTGTTTCGGATATTGCAACCGTTGCAAGGTAAGGAATTCGCATTAATAAGTTTCTTAATTCAGCTCGACTTCTTTGTTCCTTGCCAACTAATTCACGGCACAAAGTTTCTATAGAAATGGCATGAGCCACAATCAATATATCACCATCTTCAGTATTACTAAGAATTTTCCTCATTGTTGATAGACTTCTACTGTAAAAATCTTCAAGTGATTCCTTCATTATTTCTTCCAAATCATCCTTCTTCATGAATGGGATGTACTCCTCATTAATATTGAAAATTACACCAAGTTCCTTTTCGGTTAAGAATTGTGGCAATCCAAGCTCATACCAAAGACACCACTCGAATAATCCATACTCAACATTTAATGGGACATCGTAAGCATCCATAGCACTTAAAACCTCACTTGCTGTTTGGACACATCTATAAGATGGTGAGACATAAACTTTTGAAAAATTTACTCCAAAATTCTTCAACGATTGTCCAACTTGGTGACATTGAAAGCTTCCAATTGTTGTTAAAGGTGAATCCTTTTCCCAGTCTTCAGTTATTCTTGGTGGTAAAGTTTCTGGCATGTTTAAATCCATTCGTACGTAATTTTGTGAATCATTGAAACTAAATTGAGTCCACGTGTTGCCAAAAGCAAAATCCACACGCTCTCCATGCCTTAGAATCAATATTCGTCGTCTTCCTCGTCTTGTCAAATTCGATGTCACATTTTCATCCATTTTTGAAGTCTGACTGAATCGATTTTCGTTGATATAGAAATCTAAATGAAATTAATGATAAGTTCGTTCCTATCTTATCGGCAGTAATTCAAGTGGTGCAATAATATTTACCCTCTCTCAAGCTATGCGACTGTACAATCCCGTCAATTGCATCGGTTGAAATTTCATTATTATCAGACGCTTGACATAATGGAACAGTTGCATTCAAAGTCCATACATTTGTTTCTGATGTTCTTTCAGTATGATTTAATGGCAAAAATCCAACATTTCCATTACAACTGATTCCTTCAACCCAGCCATCAATTGAATTTTGTATAGCATCGCCACTAATGTACACGTAATCTCCAACTCTTAATTCCAACTCGTCATGTTCACGTGATGAATGTGAATAAATGACTTTATGGACTTGCTTTGTTGCTAATCGTGGATCTCTTGAATACAGCCTCAATTCCCAACTATTCGCATACGAGGTATCGATTTGTTCTACCAATTCAGCCAAGTTTTGGTAAACATTTGTTGGAAATTGATACGCAAGTGTTAAATGGAGGTTCTTAACGTGCGGTTCCAATGATATTGCTGAAATTAAGCTTTTATTAGAGCTTGTTATGTGGATATTTGTGCATTTTAACTTGACAAATATGCTTAAACCGTTAAATTTAAATTCAAAATTCGTTTAGGAAACAGCTTTGTTCATTTCATTTCAGTTCATTTGAATTTTAAAAAATCTTTAGAAATTTGAATCTAAAATAGCAGTTAAATTATGTTAAGCAAAAATGCACTTTATCAACCAAAAAACTTAATTAAAGTAGCAAATTCAGATAAAATGAATAATTTTAGACCAAAACCTCACCTACCTTAATTGTAGTAAAGCAAACTAATGAATAAAAATCCAACTTGATAGGAAATAATTGATAAAAACCATAAATTAAGAAAAAACCAAAAGAATGAAAGGAACTTAATAAAGTATGAAAGAAATTAAGTGCTAAAGTATAAAGGAAATGATGAATAAATTAAGTTAGTATATAAATTGTGATGCTTACATCTTGAACTTTTTGGGATGCACCGAGAAGAGGTTTTATCATTTACTGCACTGGCACAGTAAGGAAAGCAAGCAATAAGATGGTCAATCCCGTCTATTGTATCACTAATTACTAGATAAGAGATTAAATGTAATTACGATACCGTCCACCATTTAATGTATCTCTAGCCTACATGATTAATATTATTAAATTAAGTATACATACTTGAATCCTGAATTTCCTTCACAAATTTGAGTGCTATCCTTTTCAGAACATTAGCATCGTCCTCATTCACAAAGAACCCCATAAAATTTGAACTTTTATAGAGTTCCAATTGCATTGGTCGATTTAAGTATTTTCCATCTTCAGCCAATGTTTTTAATGTGTCAAGAAAGTTGACGTCTTCGTGTGCCTTAAAATCGATTTTGATGCATTTTTAATAGTTGATTGGGAATCAATAAATTATATTTGCAAGTCTAGGTACTCACTTTAAAGAAGGACACGAGTGTTATGTGCGGAATTGAATAATTGTGAGCACTTCCATTAAACAGTTCTGTTGCCTGCGACCAGAAATTTTCAAGTCCTTTTTGGAAGTGATTTGTTGGACAACAATATAGAATATATTCCCTAATTCGTGTATGTTTGTGAATTTTATTGGATGTTTGGCTAAATGTAAAGTTACGGCTTTGTTTGCGTGGCGGCAATGGTAAAGAAGCCATTTGACTTAATTAATTTTACTAGAAATGAAAATGTTGAAAAAGATTTTTTTTTCTTTCTAAAGGTATTTTTTTATATATAGGGTATGTGATGTAGCACCTGCTGCATATTAGTCTTTAGTCAAGTGGATTCTGAATCACATTCTTTACCCTTTTCATCGAAATGCGATTCGCAGGCAATTTTTAAAACTAATTTGACAGTTGATCAGTCAAAATTGATTTTTAAGGCAGTAATTAGTCACTTGACGTTATCAGCTTGTGGAATTATCGAATGCATGTTAATAATAAAAATACATCGTTATCACTGCTAGTCTGAATTGAAGGAAAATCAGATGTTTATGGAAACAAATAACTAAAGCATGACAAGGAAAACAGATCTGTCAGTAATTAATGTAAATAAATAGGCTGTAAATAATTGTGATTAGATTTTTATTTTTTAGATTTCTTTCTAAAGCGATCTAACACATTTGTGTCACTATCATCAGTATCTGCATTCCTCTTAATTTTCTTTTGTTTTCTTACTTCAATGAATTCTTCTTGTTTTGCTGCTTTCAATAAATGTTGTTTCTCCTCAGCCTTTTGAAGTTGCTTAATTTTAGCATTATCTACGCCTGAGCGCTTACTCGTTTTCTTCTCATTAAGTTTTGAAATTGGAATCTAGAACATAAAATTTATGAATATTTAACAGTGTTTGAAAATTTGAATTTTATCGGCATTCAGAAATTCAAATTCATAGTTCAAAATGGGCAATTCCACGAGTAAAGGGAACTGAGAAAAAGCAAGTTGTAATATTTTTCTACTTGTAGGAATTTGAATTTTTTTTTACCGTTACAAATTTTCAAAAGATTCAAACTAATTTTCATTGCCTTGATTATTATTACGATTATTTCACAAAATTATGATGTTAACATGAAAAAAACAAATTAAATTCATTATTAACCCAATAAAATGTTATTTTTCGAAGAGAAATTATTCTTAGCAATAAATAAATTTAACGGGAATTCAAAATTCAAATTTTCTGTTTTTTGTTGGTTTTGGATAAAGCGCTGAAAACTTAACCGATTAACGCAGTATTTTGTAATTTTCTCTGTGAATAAAGCATTTAAGAACAGAAAAAGTTTACAAATAAGTAGAAAAAGTGAATATCTATGGCTTAAAAATATACTTGAGCACAAAAAATGGATATTTGAAGACTTTTTTAAGGATATAAGAAGCGAAATTTTTGTAAACTTAACCGATTAACGACGAAAAAACTGAATTATTTCAGTAAATAGACCTTTAAACGTTTAATTAACTTTTTTAAAATGAATATCTTGAGTTATTACTAATTATAAATTTTTAAAAGAACGGAAAAAGGTGTTATTTTAAGAGTCTTTTGATCAAAAAGAATTTTACTTGCATTTTTTCACTCATGGAATTGCCCAAATGTTAATCTTTTGAAAGCAGTTAAAATTTTGAATTTTTTAAAAACCGTTGTAAATTTCATTTTAAAAGTATTAAGGCTGAATAAGAGGAAGTAACTCACTTGAACTTCTGGTTTCTTATCTAATTTCTCTTCCAGATGCTCAATATCCACATTGACGATTTGTGAGGCATCTAAAGTTATTAAATCAGAAGGAATCTTCTCGAGTAGAGCTTTAACTTCATGTTCTCGTCGTTGTTGCTTAGTTCTAAATGGATTCTGTTCGAGAGTATCGAAATTGGCTTCACCACATCCAGGTACGAGAATTGATGAGAATCCGTTCTTTGTTCCAATTCCTAAGATATCTTCATAAGGCACATACTGAATAGAACTGATTGAAGAATTTTCAGAGTGCTTTAAATAGCTGTCTATTGATTGAATATTTCCAGTACCGACTGTTCTGAATATTTCACATTTATCTCCAATTGCTAGAGCCATTACATTTCTTTGTGATAATGCAATATTATGAACTATAGCTTTTGTCTTGTATTGTGTAAGAGGTTCCTTAAATGATCTCGTATCCCATAATTTAACTAATTTATCCATTCCAGCTGTAGCTAATTTAGAGCCATCAGAATTGAATGCCATAGCTGTTATTGGAGCTACATGACATAAAATTGTTGCAAGTGGTTTTCTATGAACGGCTGGTGACCAAAATGAGACAATTCCTTTAGCACTTCCAACTGATATTGTAGCATTTCCTGGATTATGTCTCATTAATGTGATTCTATCGTCTAGTGATGGAAATTGAGCAACCATTTCACCAATTGATACATCGAGCCATTTTAACCAGCCATTATCACTTCCACTAGCTAATAGAAAATGATATGGAAGGAATTCCAACTGATTTACTTCATTCATCTTCTTTATACAATGAATCTCAGTGCCTTTATTATCGTAAAAATGGACCCACTTCTTTTGTGCGACAGCAAACATTGTTTCTAAATGCAGCCATTTAACATCCATGATTTCTTCCATAACATTAAACTCACAATACAGCTTCTTTGATATCCAATCGAATGCTGCTAAATGTCCCTTCTTTCCTCCAATCACTAAATGTCGTCCATTTCTAGTATAATTAATATTGTAAGGACCAAAATCCAGATTCAATTTGAAGCTTTTTGCTGCTGATGTTATATCAACATGTTGCTTGATATCATCTTGTGTGAATTCTGTTGTCTCTTCACCATCATCAGCCATCAAATATCCACTATCTTCATTGAGTAAAATTTCTGCTCGTGCTGCCTGCTCAACAGCATATTGGAAGTTCTTTTCTTGCTCAAATAATTTATTTTTGAAGAATCCTGTTCTGATTTTATTTTTATTAATTTTTCCACTTCCTCTTTCATACTTTTTTAATTGATGATCTTCAAGATCCAGGCTTTGCAATTTTAATGGTTTTCTTTCAAAATTACTTTTCGCTGTGAATTTTTCATATTTACTGAATTTTTTCTTAAATTGCTTCTTATCATCCTACAAATGTATGCTTAATTAATGAAATTTTTCTTTATTTATTAGTTCCTTACCTTATCAACTTTAATTGTGTCTTCCATCTCGAGTTATTTAATTATTTTATAAAAATTCAAAATGATGTTTTTGTTTATTTGTTTTGAAATAATTTGAGGTTATTGATAACGGTAAAAAATTGAATTATTCGAAGGGTTCATTTGAATTTGATAAGTTCGTTAAATTGCTTATCTACTTAAAAAGTATTATAATCTCTTGACTCATCATTATTGATGCTTTCTTAATTATTTGAATGCCAATTCTATGCTTAATTAACATTATACAATATGGAAAAATCAAGATAGATATCTTTAAAATAAAAGAGATATTGAGAGATGTAAGAATTGAACTGATAATATCTCAAACATCCAGAGAACTTTTGAGAAAAATCGGGAATTTATTGGAAAGTGTTTCAATTCTGTTATGTCCTATTTCATCAGAAGCAAATATTTGGTGCTTTCTGATTGGTCTGTTTCAAATTTTATGCTGCAACAACCGTTAGACTGGAACAAGGGACTTTTCATGAATTTAAGGAATCAACTATTATTTTGAAAGATCCAGTAATCTTTTTGAGTCAATTATCCTCACATTTATGGATTGAACCAATAGAAAAGACATCTGGAAACGTCTAAAACAATGAGAAATGACTGGAAAGTGGAACATTTATGTGTAGCTATAGATTGATTTACACGTCAGTCTTTTCATTCTATCGAGCGTATAAATTTCGCTCACTGTTCCAATTCCTTCGTATTTCATTTTTGTAGTTCAAACAGTCAAGTCGTGTATCAGAGAAAAAAATCTAATAAGACACAACAAGAAGAAGAAAAAAGTGAATTCTAGTGAATTAAAGGATATTTATTAAATAAAATTATCAATTAAGAATAACTAGGAGATAAAAAGTAAGTTAAATCAAGTTTAATTAACGTTAAATTGACTATTTGAGTGTGCAATTTGTGATAGAATTTTTAAAAGCCGAATGACTGAAAAGAATGACGTGGCTCAAATGAATTCCTAGAAAAGATGTATTATAAGTCTATTGTACTTTCCAGTTCCTTTCTTAAAAATATTCTTGCTAATAACTAGAACTACCTTAATTAAGGAAGTATCTTTAAAATTCTCGGAAATTGCACAAAATTTCGTCAATCCACATTTTTGTACGAGAAATTTCTCTTATTTCCCGGACTAAAGTCTCTTATTCTGTCAATTTAGGTATGAGATTAACTATAGCATTATTTGTGACGGCTCTTGCCGTACTGGGAGTATCATCCAGTGAAGATAAAGACAAAAAAGACATCGGAACTGTGATTGGTATCGATTTAGGCACAACTTACTCATGGTATGTCTTATTTTACAGTTACTTTCTGATAACCTTATTCTAACAATTTCTTTTCTTCTTCTTTTGCCTATCTACTTACTTCTTTACACATCATATTCATCAATATAAACTAATTATAGTGTTGGTGTGTATAAAAATGGACGTGTCGAAATTATTGCCAATGATCAGGGAAATCGAATTACACCTTCATATGTTGCATTTACTGCTGAAGGAGAGCGTTTAATTGGTGACGCAGCAAAGAATCAGCTTACAACAAATCCAGAAAATACAGTTTTTGATGCTAAGCGTTTAATTGGTCGTGAATGGTCAGATTCAGCTGTTCAGCATGATATTAAATTCTTCCCATTCAAAGTTATTGAAAAGAACTCAAAGCCACATATTGAAGTTGCTACATCTAAGGGAAATAAAGTATTTACACCTGAAGAAATTTCAGCTATGGTTCTTGGAAAGATGAAGGAAACAGCTGAAGCTTATTTGGGCAAGAAAGTTACACATGCTGTCGTAACAGTTCCTGCTTATTTCAATGATGCTCAACGTCAAGCCACAAAGGATGCTGGTATCATTGCTGGTCTTAACGTCATGAGAATTATTAATGAACCAACTGCTGCAGCTATTGCTTATGGATTAGACAAGAAGGATGGTGAAAAGAATGTCTTAGTCTTCGATCTTGGTGGTGGGACCTTTGATGTCTCATTACTTACAATTGATAATGGAGTTTTTGAAGTCGTTGCTACAAACGGAGATACACATTTGGGTGGTGAAGATTTCGATCAACGTGTTATGGATCATTTCATTAAATTGTACAAGAAGAAAAAGGGCAAGGATATCAGAAAAGACAATCGTGCTGTCCAAAAACTCCGTCGTGAAGTTGAAAAAGCAAAACGTGCACTTTCAGCATCACAACAAGTCAGAATTGAAATTGAATCATTCTTTGAAGGTGATGATTTCTCTGAATCACTTTCACGTGCTAAGTTTGAAGAATTAAATATGGATTTGTTCCGTTCAACATTAAAGCCAGTACAAAAAGTCTTGGAAGATGCTGATATGAATAAGAAGGATGTTGATGAAATTGTTCTTGTCGGAGGTTCAACACGTATCCCAAAAGTCCAACAATTGGTCAAAGAATTCTTTAATGGAAAGGAACCATCACGTGGTATTAATCCTGATGAAGCTGTTGCTTATGGTGCCGCCGTACAAGCTGGAGTACTCTCAGGAGAACAAGATACAGATGCTATTGTCTTACTTGATGTTAATCCATTGACTATGGGTATTGAAACAGTTGGCGGTGTCATGACAAAATTGATTCCAAGAAATACAGTCATTCCAACAAAGAAATCACAAATTTTCTCAACTGCTAGCGATAATCAACATACAGTCACAATTCAAGTTTATGAAGGAGAACGTCCAATGACCAAAGACAATCATTTATTAGGTAAATTTGACTTGACTGGCATCCCACCAGCACCAAGAGGAATTCCACAAATTGAAGTCTCATTCGAAATTGATGCTAACGGTATTCTTCAAGTTAGTGCTGAAGATAAGGGAACAGGAAATCGCGAAAAGATTGTCATTACAAATGATCAGAACAGACTTACACCAGAAGATATTGAGCGTATGATTAAGGATGCAGAAAGATTTGCAGATGATGATAAGAAACTCAAAGAACGTGTTGAAGCACGTAATGAACTTGAAAGCTATGCATACAGTCTAAAGAACCAAATTGGAGATAAGGAGAAGCTTGGAGCTAAATTGTCTGATGAAGAAAAGGCAAAAATGGAAGAGGCTATTGACGAGAAAATTAAATGGCTTGAAGAACATCAAGACACAGACTCAGAAGATTATAAGAAACAAAAGAAAGAACTTGAGGATATTGTGCAGCCAATTATCGCTAAATTATACCAAGGACAACCTGGACAAGGACCACCACCGACTGGCGATGAGGAAGATCTCAAAGACGAGTTGTAAATCCGTTCATCTCAATCCTTTTTCTACTACAACAAAACATAAACCTCTTAATTCAAAATGATTTAAATCCTAAGCCGTTATCATTTCCTTTTTTTTATTTGTTACATTCATTTATAATTTTTTTCATTCCGAGAATTAATTAATTGTTTAAAAAATTGATCTTAAAGTGATTTAGGGAAAATTTTCATACGTCGCATAAAAAAAAAGAACCTTGTCCTAATAATTTATTAGTAAAAAACAAAAATAAGAAACCAATGCACATGACTGATGAATGAGCGAATGAGTGCGTGATCTTTTAAGTTTTTTTGTAAATTCTTAAGCATTCGTTTCTATTATGAAACAAATTGAATAAAAAATAGAAGTTAATCTAGAAAAAAACAACAACATTAAAAGAAACATGAACAATCTTTTATTTCTAATCATATAAATTAATCACTTATTTTAAATTTCTATCGGGTTTTCAGCTTTTGAAATTGACTGGAAAATTCCAATGAATATAATGGTTTTTATTTTTTAAAGATTCCAGTCTGGAATATTCCAATGAAAATCATAAAATTTAAATTTAAGAAAACCGTTAAAATGCAATTAATGAAAATCAACCAAATACTGCTTAACATTAAATCCAACAAGCTTTCCAATATTTATGGCAAAGTCTAAACCTATTGTGCTTTGTAGACGAGCTGTTCCTTCCATGATATTATTCTCTCCAGACACGTATGTTAAGAAATTGAGATCCACTAAAGTTGATATTTGAGACAGCAAATTACATGTTAAACCGACTTTTTCATCCAGAATAGCATAGAAAATGGCCAAGAGACGATCAATGCTGAATGATTTCGGACCAAACTGAACATTCATCTTGTCTGAGAGCTGTAATTAAAGTATGAAAAAACTGTTAACATATATAAGCATTAAGCCTTACTTTTGTTTGCTGCCTTCGTCTCCTCTCTTTGCCATGATTTTTCATAAACAGCTTTTTGTCACTTTTAGCATCATTGTGGCTAGCAAGAAAGCTAGCAATCAGCAAATATTTAGCATAGAATGGCAGTTCAAGCGTTTGAGCAAATGACTTTATGCTGCTTTGTTTCTTCTCTATCTCAAATCCATCCTCAGCATTCTCATTGTTTTTAAATTCATTAGTTGCATCATTTTCAACACGCATATATATTGTGTTAAGGGATGTCTTTAAATGTTTAGAGACGTGTCTCCAAAGATTTGTGACGTCATTGGCCTTAATTTCACCACTCAAAACTGGAGAGTAATATGATGAATAACACTTTTCTAATAGAAATGTTAGTTCCTTTAAGTCACGACAGGCTTTATAAAAGACATTTAAAAATAAATTGAGGTAATTTTTGAAAAACTCTTCATTCATGCTTTCGAAGGCTTCCAATTGTGTCATATTATCATTAATGTTACTGTCTTCAATCTTGACTCTGATTCTTTCATGTATATCCTCGTATTTGGTCATAAAGATCTCAGTAATATCATTTTTATTATAATCAGGAACGTAAATTTTAAGCATATCTTCAACTCCAAACTTCTCAAATGCTAAATGTGATACAAATAAGCAGGATATGTTTAATCCAGTAAACTCTTGTAGCTTCATGAATATTTGTAGTATATTTAAGTCCATATCTCTCATTTTCTCTGCCTTTTCTATGATTATTAAATATGATTTATCGGAACTAAGTGCTGATAATTCATTAAGGAAGTCTTCCATACAATCAATTTTAGCATATGACTCATAAGAATTCTCCTCACATAGTACATGTTCATTAAATTTGTTTATTATAATTTCAAAAAGAATATTTTTTGTATATATTTCATCAGCATAAATAATCACTGTTTGTAGATAATCTTTGGCTTCTTTTAAGAACTTTTCAATGCACAACGACTTGCCAACTGACTTTTGACCATATAAATAACTGCATTCGGGAAAAGCTTCATCCTTTCCATAGAAATTAATTAATTTTCTTACAACTTTTTCAATTTTATTCATTTTCGCGCGATTTTTAAACTTTGTTGAGTAAACGGTTGTTTATATTTTAAAAATTGAAAATAGGGGAACATCAACTATCATGAAATATTATAAAATAGTAAAAGAGTCGAGCAAAGTTTGTTAATTATTAATTAAAGTAATATACACAATGGATAACGCATCAAACAACAATTGGTTGTCATTATTAAGACGTAAGATACAGAAAAAGTTTAAAAGGAATCGCCAAAAAGCTAGTAATACGTGCGAAAACATAGCTGAAGAAGCAAGTCAAGAAAATACATTGGAAAATAGTCAGGAACAGACACAAAGTAGCACTGCCGAAACAACAGATCAATTGAATAATATTAATGCGAATTGTGATGACATGAAGAAAGAATTATATAAATTAAACTGCTATTGGCCTAACTTGAGGTAAGTCTGCAATTTTTTCTGCTGTAAGATACAGTGGAAATTCCTTAACACCACTTAATGTATATTTATGCACAATAGTGGGAAAATTTCAAGTGTAATAATCAGTGTTGCGTATTTTTAATTTACAGTCGTGCTGGTGCACAAAAAATCTTGTCGAACAAGCAAAATGGAAGTTTCTTAATTCGTGACAGCAGCACAGAAAACAAGTCCTTTACATTATCATTTAGGGCAAACTCCAAAACATTTCATTGCAGGAATCAATTTGAAGTATTAACACAAGGATCAAAAATCAATAACTCATTGATTGACATCATTGAAGATACAGTTAAGAAATCTCAAAGTTCTGTTGTTGGATTCGTAAAGTGTGATAATAGTGATTTACTACCGATAGCAGTACGTTTAATCTACCCAATATGCAGAGAAAATAACGTTCCAAGCTTACAGAATCTGTGTTTAAATCTCCTTGTGAGCAATGTAAACAAATCGAACATCAACAGTTTGCCATTACCGCCGAAGATAAAGGAATATGTTCGGACAGCATATAATACTCTTTAAATGACCTTTAATTGACAGAAAAATTTGTTGAAATTAACGGAAACTTTATAATTCAAAATCTTCAGAACCATACAAATGTTTCTAGTTTTGTAACGGTCGAAATTTGAATTTTCAAACATTTGGACAGTTTTACAACACTAATTTGTAAGGTTTTCAATCATCAAATTTCCGCTAATTTGAAAATCCCTCAAATAAGAGAAAGTATTTTCAAAATTATGTATTTTCAATGACATCTATCTTTAGTGTTAAGTTTACTTTTTTTAATTTCACCAAAGATTATATATCAACTAATATCATCTTTTAATGAATAAGACGAAATAAAAAATATCCAGACTATTAAAAATCTATTTTAAAAACGAAAAAAGAATAAATTTAAAATTCATCAAAATTTATGCCATGTTCCACTTGTTTATTTCAAGCAATTTTTACGGATATATATATATTTAATTACAGTATTATTTAATGACCTCTACTTTTTTGTATCATCAGAATTGGACTTGTTATTTACCAAATTTTTATCACTATCATCTTTCTGTAATGGCTATCTTCGTTCAAAATTCAGTCCTAATATGTTACGAGCTGTAGTGAATGCTGATGTGACTGCTTGAGACAAGTGCTGTGTTGCACTTTCAGATTGTATAAGCACATCGTGGACTAAACTTGCATCAGCAATTCTACGCTCTAAAAACTTCCATGTAGCTTCATTATCAGGCGTTGAGTCTTGTAGGATGTACAATTCTGTTGCTTTGTATATTGTTGCCAATCCTATTCTTCGTGCGTACCAATTAAACTACAAAGGAAGTCAATTTTGTAAAATTAAGCATAAATAGTAAATCAAGCAACTTACATCTACAGATCGATCTCCACTATAATAGCAAATATCATCAACGAGTGTCAGCATGTTAGCAAGGGATGTTGGGACATTGGGTGGAACCGTCATAATAGCTAAAGCTTGTGGCCAGTTACTAATAAAAGGTTTAATCATAATAAGTCGTTCCTTAATCGCCCAAGTCACGAATTGTTTTGGATCTTCTACTTTCTCAATTCCAGCTACTTTCTCTTTCATAGTCTCGACTAATTGCTTATTACATTTAAGGTAAAAATAATTAATAAGCTTAATTCCACCTTTTGGAAACATTCCATGAATTGTGCCTGGATATCCTGCTTTCTCAGCTCCTTTTACAATTGCCTGTCTCGTCCATCCTGCTGTGGACACAAACTCTAATGAAGCTTCTAAAATTTTATTCTTTATTTCAGTCACTTTCTCATCCTCTTGATTTGTGGATTCTTCTTTGCTTGCTTTCTCTTCCTTTTCTATTGGTTGCTTATTAAAATCTGCTTCCTTTTCCTCTTCTCGTGCTCTAAAATCATCTATTTTCTTATCACTATATAATGCTAGTGAGGGAATACTAAGTTGTCGTGCACAAATGTGCGATTGAGGAATACAGAGATCATTGCTGTTGACTTCAACGAAGCATGCTGTTAAAAATTTGTGTCGCTTTAGTTCTGAAAACAAAATTGCTTTTTAACGGTTAGAATTTGTTCAAATTTTTAACGGTTTTCTGAAATTTAAGTGAACTGAACTGAAATGAATATACAATTTACTGAACAGATTCTTTAATTTAACTTTTTTTTGACAGTTACTCAACAAATTGTAAAAAAATTATGTGCGCAATTAAGTTCATTTTTGGATACTCCGATCGATAGTCTCAGTAACACGAGCCAATTGAAAATCGATAAGATCGAACATCATCAAAGCTGAATTAAGCATTTCTAATTTTCTTTCTTTTGTTATTTCATCCAATCCTGCCTCGTCGTTTAATATTTGAACATCCAAGCTATTAATTTTTTGATCATCTACTGCGCCACTTTTGACTCTTTCATATTCTTCCTTAAAATGTGCTCGCGAAAAGTCTAAAGCATATCTTAAATCGCTTAAAAATCCACTTTGGAGTGACTTGACATGATCCTTAATTCCAGTTTTGTTTTCTTTGTCGCGTAGAATCAAGCCAACCAAAAAGTTTAGGGCAGCAATAATTTGATCCGATGAATCTGTGAGATCACATTGAACTCCATTCTCTAACTTACAGATGTGATTAAAAAGCAGTTGCTTGAAATTAAAACCACTTAAATGCTTGGATAAAACTTCACAGTCAATATTCTCAAAAATGATGTCTTTATAAAGAGTTGTAAGATATCCAATTAATCCTTTATGTGTTGATGTCTTCATGACATTCTTAATCAACAAGAAACGTCCAGCAGTGTCGAATTTTAGGATATACATTCTTAAAACTTCCAATCCAGCCTTACGATTAGGTTTTGATGGTGAATAAATAATTGTTTTAATGAGGCTGTTACAGAAATCCATGAAAATGTCATCATCAAGTTCATCAGCCTTAAAAAATTCATTAATATTCATTAACATCTTCTTACACAATTTGAGGCCTTTTGGAATGATTGACTCATTTGCTGATAATATTTCATTGACCAAATATAATCCAATATTTAAAATATGTTTTGGATCATTAACTTTTGGAACTGATTCATAGCAAATTCCTTCGCCAATAATTAAATAGAATAAAATGCCAACTTCTAATAATGGAAACTTTTCAGGATGCAGGAAGATATTAGTCATATCATCGTCAATTTTATCTTTTGCTGGCCATCGACATTGAAGCTCTACATACTTTAATAAATCATAGACATTGACATAAAGCTTGCATAATGAAGCTACGATATTCTCAGCTACTTCCCTCGAGTATGTCTTTACATTTTGACTGTTAGGATCATATGAAAGATCCAGATGCGATAAAGGCTTGCCAAGTAGCCGCAATATAAAGCAGAAAATAACATTTCGACGGTTATACTTTGTTGATCTAAAAATATTTGATACATCTGACGAGTTTTCAACGACCTGAACTAATATTGGCTTATAAAACAAATCTAATGTCATATAATTCATTAATATGCGACGAACTTTTTCATCATTTTCCAACAACTTTTCTTCTTCTTCTTCTAAATACTTTTTCGTAAATAATTTTGGCAATTCAAGTTCTTGGATGTAATCCTCAATAGAATTCAATGTATATTCTAATGACCTTGACTTGCTTTCACTCTGATTAAGCAAAATAACCTGAAGAGCTTTAAGTATGCTTCGAAAAACGTCGTCATCCTTTACAGACTCAATTAATTCGAGGAATTCAAAGAGAATTCCTTGCTGATGACATTTCTTAGCAAATAGATTGAGTATATATTCACATGCTTCATATATTAATGGCTGTGATTGATAATTTGCAGCTGTTAAATGTTTCAAAACAACTTCCTGAATTACATCAGAATAATTGGACAAAATAACTTTGCCGTACTGCTCTTCATCGTCCAATAACTTCTTTGCATTGTCAAATTTCTGATTGACCAGATTATAATCCAATAACTTAATTAGTTGCTCTGCACTCGACATTTTCTAATTCCTTCAATCACTTTCCAATCTCGTGTCTTTAATTATTTTTAATTTTTATGTATTGCGCACAAACTTTTTGCTAGAATGTTGAGTAATTTGTCTTGATCTTTATGATTTTTAATGATTTAACGTTTTATGGATAGTATCATGATTGTCATTTACCTGAATTAGCTATGGATGTCCTTAAATTAGTATTAATCCTGAATATCACTCGACGAAACATCTCCTCAACAAATCAAAAATTACTTGACTGATTTGAATTTATTTCAATCGTTGTTTTCATTATGCAATTCTACGTTAACCAAAGTTTTTTGAATTTTAAATTACAGTTAAATTTATTTGATTTAATTTACAGCATTAATCTCCACAATTTCGTAAACTGTACTATTTGAGTGATCCTTTTTATGCTGATTAAGATCAACATTGTATTTAAAAGTTGCACGACAAATCTCACAGCAATAAATATTAATTTCACCGTTATGAACGAGCCTCATGTGCTGTCTTAAATTGGAACTAGTTTTACAGACATGATTACAAGATTCCATCCAACAACTAAATGGTTTAATATCTTGATGCACTCTCATATGAACATTAAATTCTCCTCGCTGTCTGAACTTTAATGGACATTCTGTGCACTCGAATTTCTTAATATTTGAATGCTTATACAGCTGATGACCTCTTAAATGTTCCATTCTCTTAAATCTGGCTCCACAATCATCACAGGAAAATGGTCTATCATCACCTTCTTTATGTAACTTCTCAATATGTGACTTAAGTTTCTCGTCAGTCTTAAATCGGAGCTTACACATGTTGCATTCAAATAAACAGCTGTGGATTTTTACATGCTTAGCATAGTCGCCAACATTATCAAAAACCATTTGACATTCTAAGCATGTAGTTTCAAAATTATCAAGCTTCGTATGATGATGCTTCTCCAAATGAACGCCTAGATACTTTCTACTAGAAAATTCACGATCACAGCTGTCCATAAAGCACTTGTACTTTTCTCTTGATCCAACATGTTCCTTATTATTCTTCCGACTTTTTGATGCTCTATACTGTGAGATTCCGTTGATGCATTTTTGCATGTGATTCTTTAGAGTCGTTTTGACTGAAAATTCACTTGCACATCGATCGCATTTAAATCTGACATTATTATGTACATCCAAATGAAGCTTTAAAGCATACGATTGAACAAATGACTTGCCACAGCCTTCAATATGACAGCTGTAAGGCTTAATTTGTTCGTGGATTCTCTTGTGCCTTAATAGATCTCCACTATAATTGAATTCTTTCGCACACTGCTCACATTTAAATCGTTTTTCTCCAACATTATGGATTAATATGTGCGAATTAAGTCGTCTACTGTTTTTAAAAACTTTTCCACAATGATGACAAACTGAACATTGTTGTTCATGAACGTCCTTAAAATGGAACGCGAAATAACTTTTGTAGTAAAATAGTCGGTCGCATTTTGGACATTTAATTGGTTCCTTCAATCGTTTTCTAGGATATTTCCTCCGTTTACTGCTCATGTCATCATCAAATATTTCTTCAGTATCATCAAGCTTCTCTGGTTCTATTAATTGACATTCATTCTCTTCCTCGATTATGTGCTCTTCTAAATATTCTATATCCATTTCTGCTGGATGATCGATATCTTCTTTGACATTATCTATTATTTGAATTGTGGTGTCTTCCTTAATTTCTTGAATTTCTGACTGCTCGACTGTTAAAATATCTTTTTGTAGTTTTTCTAGTGTCAATTGATTTCCTAATAACTTGGATCTAAATGATATTACTGATTCTAGTTCTTCTAGACACGGTTGACAGCATATGAACTCACAGTAAACTGTAGTATTAAGCTGTAAGGAATAAAATAATTAACTGGATGTTGAACAAAAATAATGATTTTAATTTTACCTTTTTTCTAGTCAGATTAAAGAAGTCTTGCTTAATTTTCCTAGTGATGGGCATTCTTAGATCTTCTTTGGTTTGGATATTTAAACAGAACTGACAGTAAGCCTTTATATCAGTCATATTTGGTAATATTAATTTTTAAACTATGAAAGTTGTTTACAAACAATGGTCAATTCCACAACGGCAAAAAAATAAAGAAATTCAAACTTTTATAATAATCATGTTTTGACTGTGAATAAGCTACTGGATCAAATTAATAAGATAAATGTTCAATTGTATAAGATGCAAAGGTTTTAAACATTAATTACCTCCTGTTAAATACAGTATTTTTAAAAAATAGTCAACCGTAGAATAGCAAAAATTTGAAAATATTTTGAACGATAAAAGATTCAAAAAAATTATGATCGTTGAAAAAATTAAATTTTATTAAGGCACAAGTTTTTAAAATACAGAATTAGAATTAATCCACGACGAGTACGGTTCAATATCTTCATAGAGTACAGGAGCATTAAGACTGCATGTTCCATTTTGAAATCTTTTAAACATTGAGCTCATTCCACGTAAGAACCAATAACCATCAATTTTCACATATAACACTTTGTCGTGTCTACATGCTGTTGCCATTCCATTTCCTCTAGCACAAAAGAAACCAGAATCAGTTGAAAAGTTTCTATAAAATCGTTTACAAACTTCATCTTTCTGAATCGTCATGATTGCATGCTTTCGTAAGAATGAAATACTTCCTGTTTCATCGATGCCATGTCCAACGCTATACATTATCATATTATTGTGATTACTCATTTGATTGTCATTTAAATTCCATATACAAACAGGTTTTACAGAATCACTAAATGTTATAGGACGTTTAATTTTAAGGAGAGCTATATTAGCAATTCGTGGCTTAGTACCTTTTAAATTTGGGTGTAATATAACTTTTTGCACGACCTCCACAATTGTAACATCTGGTTCATTATTTCCTTTGTAGTGTTCAGACCCGAGAATTAATTTAATGCTTTTTCCACTTAATGGACGATAGTTCCTTTCCGGATTTAACTGACCATTCTCTAAATAATTCTCATAAGCTACAGAATTGGCAGCACAGAGAACGTAATGATGAGAGATCAAGCTTCCACTGCCAGCAAATATATACGCAAGAGTCTGTTTCGTAAAAATATTTGTAAGCCATGGGAATTGATTTTTGCCAGAAAGCAATCCACCTTGAATTAATCCAAATGAGTCACTCATGACTCCACAATTAGATGAGACATTTAATGCACAATTATTTTGAATTAAAGTAACAAATAAAGCACAAAAAATAAACTTTTTCATGATTCGATTCTTTCATGAAAGACTTATAATTGATAACTAAATCCTTCAAACTGTGACTTACGAATTATTAATAAAGAGAATAATTTTTGAGTATTTTTTATGTTGAGAAATGATCTCAATATTTTTTTACATTCGCAAAACACACAGAGTTGAATGAATCATGTAAATATACAGCAGCAATTGTTGAAACTCAATTTTCATGTATTTTTTATTAGAAACCAAATGAATAAAAGATAATTAACAACATAGCGGAATCAATTTAGTTTGGTGTGATTTAAATGATGGTTTGAAGACAATTAGCACGACGCTCTGTGTTTTGGAATAAGGCACGAATTAAACGTTTTACTTCTTCGGCTCTAAATGAGGCTGAAAGTTGATTGTTCTTCCACTTTGCTTGAATATCGATAAGGGAAGCATCCAAAATGAATTCAAGATTAATTAACTTTTTCCAATTAGGAACTACTTGATGTGCATTGCAGTCAGCTTCAAATAGCATTTGACCTTTTTCTTCAAAATTCTTTATCATTTCTACTAATCCGTTGGCTAAAGTCGTTGAAATATCTTCAAGTGCTAAGACTTTCTTAATAATATTCAGCGCAACCACATCCAATAAACTTCCTATGGTCTTATTGTACAGATCTACAGGAAGAATTGTTTGCCAGACATTCTTTAATAAGTCCAATTGACGTAAAGCTTGACGGATAGGCTTGAAGTGTTCTTGCTGAAAGTTGTTCAAACTTTGATACGGATCTGTGAATAAAGGGAGAAATTTAACGGGTTATTTCATATTTAAATTATTTGAACTGAATTGAAATGAACTTTGAGCCAAGGGTGTGGAACTGAAGAATTACATTTTGATCATTTTTGATCATTTCATCAGTACCACACCCTTGCTTTGAGCTACTGAACGATTTAACGAACAAAATTTAAAATTTTGAAACATTTGTACGGTTTTAAATTACCGAAAATTGTATGGCTTTAAGCATTACTTACTAAATTCCTTTAAAATTTCCAGTAACTGTATCTTTTGGTTGGCAACTTGACAGTCAAAAAACTCCTGACCTTGACGTTTCAGATCATTAGTTACAACGTCGATATTACAGTCTTCAAACTCGTCATTTAATACAATCCAATTACAGAGGTACATACAATTGTTATAAAACAATGCAGATTGTTGGGGAATTTTCGACAGTAATTTAGAATGATGTAACTGAATTGTGAATGGGTAATTATCCAATACAATCTTAATAGAATTTAACAAGTTTGTTTTCTTCTGTTCATCTTCAATACTGCAAATTGATGCCTGTCTCAAGATTTTTTCTAATAACTTAATTAATTCCAATGTGCTCTTTGAAATCATTGATTTCGGGAAAGTAAATGGAGTTATTGTGCTTAACGTTGCATCATCAGAAATATGAATCATGTCATGAAGATCACGTTTTAGAATCTCATTTGCTGATGCTTGAACATTTTTAGTGAATTGCTCGAAGAATAAGTCTTCAATGTTGTTACAATAATCTTGGATAAACTTTTCATCGATAGAATCAAATAATTTCAATTCAGTAAAGTTTTTGCACAACTTTCTGATATCTACATCAATTGTTGAATGATTCTTAACTTCATACGTTTTAGGAATATTGAATTTTAAGCATTCATCGAAGATCATGTCAAACATTTTTGATTTACAAGTGTTAAAAAGGTATGAAAGGAAGTGACAATTATCTTGAATGACCACATTCATGTGTAGCATATGAAATAAAACACTTCGCAGATTAAGGAACACAATTTCATAGTTTGGTCGCAATTCATCACTCACTGGTTCCAAGCTGTACATAAGAATCATTGAAACTTCCTTGTCACTTTCTTTAATATCCAATGAGACAGCACGGCTTGCAATTGGCTGAAAAACATTATTCATGCAGAAATTGACAAAGTCTTGGAAATCGTAATCACATTCCAGCAATGTATGGATGCACTCAACAAGTTCCTTTGGATTCTTAGATATTCTGAATGTAACTGATTGATTTTTTGGGAATGTCTTTGTTCTAGTAAAAACTATATTTCCAAATTGCGCAATCAAATTTTTCATCATTGTTTCACGTTCAACAGTTAGCTTAACTTTGAGACTTTTGTATACTTCGAGACGTCTAATGATCTTATCATCTGGATCTCCAATTAATAGTTGAATGTCATTTAACAAATTATTAACTTCCTTAAAATTCTTAATTTCATTGTAAGGTTTGATTTTATGAAGCAAAGAATCTATCTTCACTAATTTTAAAGAAGTAATTAATGCAAGGTGATTCTCATTCAGTTCCTCTGTAAGTTTTGAAACATCTTTACTTGCTGATTTTAGCATGTTTGTGCTCTCATTGTTTAAGCTGTCTTTAAGATTTATCATTTCACTTTCCATAATACATCCTTCTTCAAGCAACGCCTCATTTGATACTATTTCAGGCATAAAGTCGGTGTAATTTGCTTGCATCAAAGAACGAACCTTTTAAATTCATCAAAATCAGATTTTTGTATAATATATTTTTAAGTTTTTCTTTTTACCTTTTCTTTATGATCTCTTATCTCCTTATTAAGCTTGTTTATCTGTTTCTTAGCATCTACCATGTCGGATCTTTCGACTATTTCTACAATCTTCTTAATTAAAGACATCTTATCCACTTAATATAATTAATCTTTAAGAAAAAGACAATGTTTTGTTGACAACTCAGAATAAAAATTTAAAAAAAGCTCGTTACAAGCAGGGGATTGTAGACTCGTAAGATCAGTGGTTCTCAATTTTTTTGCAAAACACCTGTCAGGTACCGTGAACCATAGAATAGCAGTCCTGAATGTTTGTTGTCATTTTTTGAATCACTGGACCTTTAAATATCTCAATAATGGAAGGTAAATTGACAATTTTAAAACTTTAAATAATTAAATATTATCAAAACCTATTGCAGGCTGGAATGATCCTATGGACTTGTCAAAATTTGAAGCCACTGGAAAGTTGAAAATTAATTTGAATAAAAGAGTGGCATTTCCATTAAGTGGAGGACCTATATCCCAAACTTCCAGCAGCTCTCAAGAGCCATTACAATTACTTCCAACAATTCCGTTTGGACTAGGTGAAAATAATAACAATAATAGTGACAAATCTGATCTTCAAGAAACATCAGAATTCAATTCTGAAACGTCAAAAGAAAAAGTATGCAGCATATTGCATCAAAGCATAGACCAGCTTGATTCTTCCATTCAAAATAATGTTAAGGCAAAGCTTAAGAGTTTGGAAGCCGAGTGGAGTAAATGTGATATTGATCTACAAAAGTTATTAGTGCAATTAGTCGATTGTAAGATATGCTCTATGCTTTACATGCTGAGTAATAAAGTTTAACTAATATTTTTTATAGATATTGAGCAAAAAGATGCTAAGAATGCTGGAGGAATCCAACGAAAGATTATAATAACAGGATATAAGCCTTGGATGCAAGGAGTAAGACATATTATATTCAGCCTTGAGTCTCAGGATTCAAAAACTAACGATATTGCTAACGCATAAATATTTTTAATAGTTTTATTCTACCTTCCTTCTAAGATTTAATAAAGTATCGAATTTGAGAACCCGAAAAATTGTAGTTTTACTAAAATTATGACATTAAGCATATGCTCTTGTTGATCTGACCAAAAAGGTACAAAACATAAAACATTGTGGATGTGGAGGATATAGAATTTTGGGTGATTTATAAAGCACCACCTTTAAAGAGAAGATTCTTTTAACATTTTTGTTTGTTTTTTATCCTTAAAAATATCGAGAAATTGGCCATTAATATTAAGTGATATAAACATGATAAAGAAAAGACTGACCACAGATAGTGATGATGAATCGGAAAGTGAATTAAATTTATGTGAAACGTCAGTAAAATTTCGTCGAAAACGAAATAATAAAAATATTTTATTGAATTTTGTCAATCGCTCCTTAACTGGACATTTCAACTATTCTTTAACAAAAAAATCCAATGTTCATGACTTCAATCACATTTCGTCGGATCTTAGATTCTGTTTAAAGGATATTATCCCTTTTTGTTATTTAGAAAATCAAGTTTTTATGGGTCTTTCATTATGCGGCAACTTCCTTTTATCCTATAAAAGATGTTGCGAAAATAGTGAGACTTATGACTTTAATTCAGGATATAAATATGAATTATTCTTTTGGATCTTTAAGCCTCATATGCCACTTCACAGATATGTGAGTAAAACTTTTTTTTTTTCAATTCCGATTTTTCTTTGGAATGTCTGCATAAAAATTACTTTATAATCCCCAAAATATAAAATTTTCTTAATTATAGTATAAGGTTAATCTCTTTGATGATCATGGAGTTGAGGATATTAAGTATGTCACCATGACTCAATGGAAAAATGATCCAAGAACTTTAGTCATACATGGGTCTAGTGAGATTGATGATCAGCATTCATTTCTTACAATTATTCGTGTTCCAAAATTAGGATGTATAAGCTGTAAGAAGCTCCGTGAAAATGACACGTCTGATGATCTTTTCAAGAACTATGACTTGTGTATAGAATGCAATTTTACAATCCATACAAAATATCGATTTAATGAATGCACACAAAAGTTTCAACCTAAAATTCACCTTAATGCACCCCATCATTTAATCATGTGTGAGAACAGCATCATTCATACAATCAATGTAGATTTAGATCTACAAAAGACTCAAAGTATTGGTAAAAATTTCATAAGTCATAAATATTTATTAAAACCAAATGCCATCGTTGAGGCAACAACGATATTAACAAATAGTAATGATATTGAGGTAGGTTATGACAACAACAATTTTCACCACAAAGAGCCAGCTTCAAAAATGGTGAAGCCAAATTCAATCGTGGAACAAATTCTTGCAGACTTTTCTGAATTTGATGATACTGAATGTGTTGCTGTTGCATCGACATCAACTGCTGATATTAATATTAATCCTAATAAATCAAATGAAGTCACTAATAAAGTTGGTTGTGATGATAAAACTAATAATACGCTTACACGAAAGGATGACGATGAGCAACCAAAAAATGTTAAAAAGACTGATAATGCTATGTCCTCATCGAGTCGTCTATTAAAGAAGAAATCCTATGCACCATCGTCACCTGAAATTTTAGAGGCAGCTGAAAAGACTTATGAATTTTCCGAAGAGAATGAAAAGTGTGAAAAGATAAGTATTTTTAGGAAGCGACGATTAGCTGACAAGAAATACGAATTTAGTGAAGAGAATACGGAAAATATAATTCCATTTAATAGAACTAGAAATAAAATATCTCAAAGATCTCAAATTACTCAGATTAGAAGATCTTCACCGCATCCAAGCTTCTTATCACCATGCAGTTCTCCAATGAGTAGTACTCGACATATTATGTCACCAAATCCTGGTTTTCGATCACCAAATTATTATACTTATCGCTCATCTCCAACTAATAATTTCCTATACTCACCACCATCAAGACATATTACAAGAATTGGAAATATGTCACCAGCATCTGAAGATATCCATAAATATTTCTCTGATATTATGAACAGAATGAATGATGGACGAATGGAAGTAGGAAATGAATTGTCATATGAAGAGATAAAAATCATTAGCAAGACTGATTCGCCCATTTTCTCAAAGAAAATTGTCAATCATTATGTCGAAGAGGATGACGCAAATTCGGTTGTTACATGCGAGGAGGATGACTGTATTTCACCGGGCTATCATCTTTCATTGCCGATGGAGGTTCATGGAGCTTGTTATGCAAAAATGCAGATTGTATCGAAAATGTCATTAAATCGACTCAAAGGACATCCACGAGCTATAATTACTCAAAATTCTTTTGATGTCGAAACATTTTCAATCCATATTGCAAACTTACTGTGTAAAAAAAATGACAAAAAGTACGGGATTCTCTTTGATTTGGCATTTGAAATTATTCACGTAAGTATAATACTTCAGGAGCTGGTTTTTCGGTATAAATTTACTCTATTCATACACTACTCTTTTCCTACCTCATGGATAGGGTTTGGGAAACCTGTTAATAGAAAACAGAAAAACAGCTGTTTTTCGACAAAAATCTGTTAACAGAAAACAGGTCTTAAAAACAGATCTGTTTTCTGTTTTTCATTTTTAAATATAATCAAGGCGTATACACTCGAAAAAAAAGTTGGGATTTTTTGGGATTTTTCGGGATTTTTGTAGAAAACCTGGGATTTTTTGGGATTTTTCTGGGATTTTTGGGATTTTTCTGGGATTTTTGGGATTTTTAATATTTTAAAATATTTCCTTTTATAGAAGTAAAAATCTTGAAAATTTGCTCTAAAATTTTTAAGAGAGTTATTTCATGGTATAAAAACTTATTCATCATCAATATAAATTAATAGTTTTTACATATTCTGTTGGTAAATCTTGTTCTGGTTCACTTGTGTAACAGAATAACTGCTAACGCTGTAAAACACATTTTTGTGTAGTTCCACAATTTGTTCATTAACAACATAATAAGCTGTCAACCTTTAGCTCTTAAACTGTAAATTGTTACAAAATCTCATAAAATTTTTTTATCCTTTTTTGCCTTTTTGTTAGAGTAATTCATATTTAAAACTCTTTCTGTTCCCAATATTCCATTTTCATGTATAATACTATGATCACCACGTCCTATTTCCTTTTCTTCCCAAATCAGTTCCTTTTCTGATACTTGTCAAATTTATACATCTTTTTTCTATATATCGTCTGGTTGTATCGGTGTTTTTAGTAATCATGATTTGTTTGCCTTGATAAGTTCCTATTAATTAAGAATTTGCTTTGGAATTATTCCTTCAAAAATTTATATTTGTTATTATTAAGCCATTTGGGAATTGATGAACATCTATATCAATTTCTTGATCAACGCCAATATTTGATGTCTTGAATGTAACATTCTTATCTTCTAAATAATCTTTCAAAAGAAATTCAGAATCAATATCATCTCGTATGTTGATTGCGTTTTGCGAATCTTCAGTAAGTAAACTCATATTAATACGTTCGATTACCATGCCTAATTCACGTACTTGCATTATGGGTCAAAATTTAAATTTTTTTGTAATTATGTGGCTGTTTGAAGTTAAACAAGTGAAAATTTTGATTTTTTTCATTAAAACTGAAAAATCTCTTCAGTAGATAAAGATATCAAAAAAAAGTTTTGAATTCTTCAAAAGTATCAAATAAGAGCTTTATGATGATGTGATATAAAGATACACTTATGCTAGCAAATGTATGAAAATCCAAGGAAAAATATCTTTAAACGTGCCGCAACCATCGTAAATGCCCAACTTCTATCCTAAAAACCATATATCACCGTGTAGCTCTTGACTTTTAAATCCAAAACTGTATTCAACTTTGGCTTAATTAGGTGCAAAATAAATTTATTGTGATTTTAAACGTTATTTAAAGATGAACTTTGAAGAAATTTTTTCAAAAAAGTCAAAATTGGTCGAGATATAGGGTACTTTTGATATCTGACGACTTGTATGTTTTTTTCTTCACTCAAACCACCAGTACTCTTACAAAAAAAATAAATATTTTTTAATTCAGGTTTTATTTTATTATAGCTTAAATCAGTACCTTTCAAATGATGTATAAAACTTGATAGTTAAGTTTGATCTTAGTCATGAAAATAAGCCTGGTTTGTGACCGACCCAAAACGAAGAAAAATTTCAAAAACGTCATTTCTAGAAATATCACTTAGAAACAAATTTAAGTATTGATTTGTAGTTTTTTATGATGATTTATGATAGTTATGACTATTTTAACTCAAAAATTTACATTTCATAAACTTTTTGCTATCTCAGGTAAAAGCTAGCTTTTAAGGTATGACCCTAGTAGACATTGATATTTCATATTAAAACACATCTGAGACAAAACACATTCGGCCTGTTTCACTAAAGTATATTATCCTCGATTTCGGATTATCTACTTCAGTTTTGTGGAAATTTCTCCAGACGCTTAAGGTTATTAAGAGATCTAATGTGTGATCTAGTTAGAGTACTTTTCTCCTTAAATCAACATGTACTTAGAATTTTTATATCTTCATTAGTTTGAGAATTATAACAAAAATCGAAGTTAATCTACTAGATTTGGCTAGAAAATTGAATGATTAATACTTCTTACCGAAAATCAAAAGTTTAAAGTACATATACAGAAATGAATGTGAAACAGGCCGATTACTTTTATATGGTTACCTATCAAAAATTTTTCATTTTCGCTATTTTGTTAAATTTCAGCTTGCGTCGGTCACATTAAAAACTTTTCCATAAGAAGTATAAGTTTCATACAAATTTTATACACCATTTTAAAGGTACTGATTTAATCTAGCAATAACCGAAAACGGATTGCAAAATATTAATTCTGAATAAATTTATAGATATTTGAGTGGATCAAAATGCATACAGAACTGCAACCAGCATAGATAAAAATACAAAAGTTGAAAATTTCATGCTTTTTTGGCAATTTTTTTTTTGTAATTAGGATAGTATTTTAAGATTTTTCCAATTCTTTTTTGTAAGATTTTAAGCTATCAAGGACACAAAACACTTATGTAAAATGGTAAACTGTATCGTTGCGTTGATATTGGTTTCTTCTACATGCTTTAATTAAGAAAATATTTGACTTTTTGTAAGCGTTGTACTTGTACAGAATGTTGAATTCTGAAATTTTATCCAAAAATTAACTTAATAATTATTGACAAATTAAAATTTTATCATTGTGCATGCTTAATATACCTTAAAAGCACTTATTAAGTACCATTTAGTAGAAAAATGAGGAATTTTAATTCAATTTCTGTACAAGTGCAACGCAAAAACGTTTATTTTCCTAATCCGCGAACAAAATATTTCAGATTTTCCTTTAATTAACAACTTATTTTTTGATTAGAATGTTGTTTATGATATATTTCTGCTGGGATTTTCTGGGATTTTTTGGGATTTTTGGGATTTTTGGGATTTTTGTAGGAAACTTGGGATTTTTCGGGATTTTTTGGGATTTTTGGGATTTTCTGGGATTTTTTGGGATTAATCCCAAAAATCCCGAGTGTATACGCCTTGAATATAATTTACAGAAAAAAAAAATTTCTTAATTTTTTGAAGAACTTAATATATTTTTCTAGCATTCCAAATTGAAATGTATTTACTATTTTAATATTTTTTGGATGCTTAATAGGTTTGAAATCATTATCAAATTTATGGTTAACCATTATTAATTTTGCAATCGAAATTTTTAAATTTGTTGAACTTCCTGTGGCTGGATATAGCAGGTTCCATTTTTGGGAATTATGCCGTCGTACTTCAGGTTTTAAAAAGGCATCATTTCCAAATATTAACTTTATTAAACATATTATACATCAAAATTGATCTCTTAATTACGTCCAATTGTGTCCTGCAAAAATTTTTGGAATCGGATATGACCAGCAAGAGTTATGGACTGTCAAAGTTTTGGACAGTACTACTTGTGGACCAATATTTTTTTTGCCCAAATCCTATCATGTTATATATCAAAACACGTATACTTTTCCTCAGCAGCTTAAATCTGATGTAATTATTTAAGTCCAATTCATTTTGGAATTATGGCAGTTCCAGTTCCATCTCGTAGTTGAATATCACCAAATTTTCAAAAGTTGACTAGTGGCATGTTGTATGGTTTGGGAATTAATTGATTTGAGCTTAAAACAAGCGAGAACGGAGCAAAAAATGATAATTTTTTTCAAAAATTGCATTCTACTAGGTAGACTTTTAGACCTTGTGGACTATCGTATCCATAAAATTGTCTGAAACTTAGCATAATTATTTTTCAAAACTAGATCTATTTAACACAAAAAACCGCAGCTTCTAAAATAGTTAAAATTTTGACGTATGATCCATAGAAAAATAGGTTCCAAAAACGTCAATTTTTTCGATTTTCAAGAGGCTATAGCATTTCAAAACATAGTCATATGGGGTATTTTTGTAAAGCTCTTGCTGAGGACTATAAGATAGAACTCAATATTATATCCAGTTGGGAAAAAAGTCTGGTGCCGCAAGAATTTTAAGAAAATTACCATTTTTCCTAGGTTTTCCAACTTTGACAGTCAAGAACTCATTAAATTTGTGAATGTTTCGAAAAATGACTTTCAATCCCCCTAATTGCTTATGTTGTGTGATCAAATGGCAAAAGAATTATTTTCCGAGACCCTTATGGTTCGAGCGAAGCTCAATCACCAAATTTGTAGACCCAAAAAAGACCTTTTTTGGCGTTTTGAAGGCATAGATGATGTCAAATTGTAAAAGTTTATATACAGAAAAATCCAGCCTTCTAATACACACATTTTGGTACCCTTTGTGATTTCTGAAGGCTGTATTAAAAAAAGTGTGTTCTGACCGAAACTAATAACTTACACGCTTTTTGCGTGAAAGTTAAAAAAGTAAGAAATAATAATGCTTAGCTCTAAAATGTATGCTTAACTGCTTATAACCACCCAAAAGTTTCGTTATCTTAGAAAAACACTTAAAATAACTCAGTTCATTTTGAATTCTAGAAAAACAGGAAAACAGCTGTTTTTAAAAATCAAAAACCGAAAACAGACTGTTTTTCAAAAACAGCTGTTTTCCACAAACCTTACTCATGGACATACTAAGGTATAGTCTATTAAAGTAGGAGATGTCTATCTAGGGTAGATGTATGCTTGAGTGGATTTATGTTGCAAAAACCTACTTCTGGGGCATTTCTTAAATGCATAAGTCTACTAATCATGACATTTTAATTCATTCGCAGGTCTGCCCATTGTCTGAAAATGTATTGATTGCATTGTGCTTACAATTCACGGCAAGTGATTATGACAGACTCTCTCAATGCCTAAATTGTTCGAATGAATCTACAGCAAATTGCTTTTTGCATCGTCGTCTCTATGAAACGACTGTCCTGTTTTCCTGGAAAATGACAACCGATGAATGGACAATTTTAGATTCTGGTCAGTTGAAGCAACTTTCAACACAAATGAAAATAAGTCATCCGATACGAGGCAATCGTCAAGAAATGCTCATTAGGAAGCTCCAAAGATTCATAAGGAGAATTTTTGGAAAGGAACGAACTTTTCTCGACAAGTATGATCACTTGAGAGTTTTGGACTGTAACGAGGATAAAAGTAAAGACTCTATAACTGACTTTAGAAATGGAATTGAATTTTATCGACGTCAACCTTACGATTCTCCATCGTCTATATCTTCCCTCTCATCGAATTCTTCAGCATCGACTAGTTCTGATTCGGCAGAATCTTGTGATGAATCATTGCAATAAATATATTAAAAGCTGCTGTAAAATAATATTGAATGCCTATTTAATCTGCGTGTTTTTCAATCTTGTGTTTTGAAGCTTTTTAAATAAAAATTATTGGATATGCACTATGGGGCAAAATTGAAAAAAAAGGGATTTTCACTTTGATTTTGGGACTTTTTCGAATTACAAACTCAGGTATATTTTTTCTTGTATAGGACATAAAAATAGACTTTTATGCCAAATTTCAAGTCATTTGGTGCTGTTCCTGCGATTTTGTGACTGTTTAAAGTTGAAAATGAGTGAAAATTCTGATTTTTTCATGCCCTCTTTAAATCTAAAGTTCCTTATGATTATTAAAGATATTGAAAAACGGTTTTCAGTTCCTAATAGTATCATTTTGATATTCCACAAAGATTTTAACTTTGTAGTTTTGGTACCGCTATGGTAGGATATGTAAAAAAACAGTGGAAAAATATCTTCAAACGTGCCGCAAGTATCTTAGATCGCAGAATAGTAGGGGGTAGAATCACACCAGCATGTAGCCATTGACTTGTAGTTTTCAGAACTGTATAAACATTGTCCAATATAGTTCCACAGTAAAAAGTTACAGCGATTTTAGTGAGTCGTTGAATATTTAACCAAAAATTGAAATGTCTTATAAAAAATACAAATCAATGAATACAAATAAGTTTTTTCATTTTTTCTAATCATAAATACTTTAAGAAAACAAACAGTGAAGAAATTTTTTTAAAAAGTTCAAAATTTGATGAGATATTGGGTACATTTGATATCTGACGACTTGTATGCTTTTCTCATCACTCAAACCACTAGTACTCTTACAAAAAAAACTATTTTTTAATTTTGTTTCTAGTTTATTATAGCTTAAGTCAAAATCTTTCTAATGATGTATAATACTTGATGGTTTACTTTGATCTTGGTCATGAATATGGGCCTTGTTTGTGAGCGACCCTAAATTAGAAAAATCTCAAAAACGTCATTACTAGAAATACCACTTAGAAACAAATTTAAGTATTGATTTGTGGTTTTTTATGATGATTTATGATAGTTATGACTATTAAAACTCAAAAATTTGCATTTCACAAAGTTTTTGCTATCTCAGGTAGCTTCTAAGGTACGACCCTAGTAGACAATATTGGGTCTGAAAATCTCAAAGATTTGATTATTTTTCAGAGTTTTGTTGATTGATATTTCATAATGGAACATATTTGAGTCAAAATACATTACTTTTAAATAGTTTTGAAGGGTAAATTCTTGATTTTGGCTATTTTGTTAAAGTTCAGCTTGCGTCGGTCACATTCAAACCACTCCCATGACTGCTATAACAAAGTTTCATGCAAGTATTATACATCACCTTAAAGGTATTGATTTAAGCTAGCAATAATTGAAAACAGATTGCAAAAATATTAATTCTGAAAAAAGTTCTAGTCATTTGAGTGGATCGAAATGCATGCAGAACCTCAATCAGCATAGGTAAAAAATACAAAAGTTGAAAATTCCATACTTTTTTTGTCAAACTCAATGTATTTTCTAATTAGGATAGTATGTTATGACTTTTCAAATTCTTTTTTGTGAGATTTTCAATAAAATTTACAACTTTTGTATTTTTTACCTATGCTGCACGTTGATCGAAAAAGTGAAAAGTTTGTCAAAAATTCAGCTTATATGCTTATGTTGTAGACATTGGTCCCTAGTTTATGGGAAAAATAATTTTTTCCCCCGGAAGTGCTATTTTACTGAAATTAACATCGGAAATCTACTTTTATGAAAATCGCAAATTTTAAGGTTTTTATTTAGACAATTTTGTTTCAGTCAACTATGAAAATCTACTTTTATGACATTTATCTTATAGTTCTAGCATAGATATATAGAAAAAAGTCCAAAAACTAAAAGTGGAATGACCTTTGTGCCTAGAAGTGTCAGTCAAAGTATGACATATTGGACCGAGCATATCTGTTCTTCTAGCTGCTAATGAGCTTCAATTTCTTTTTAAATACATCAACACTATTTTAAGCTTTCTAACAATACCAAAATTATTGCATACACTTAAGATTTACAATAGTTCTAAGCAAAAATGTAAATGTCATAGGTTTTCAGATTCGTTAAAATTTGATACATTTTTTAAACTTTTGATGATATTTACTAGAAATCACATCTTTATATGACTTATTTTATACCATTGGAAAGGTTTTCAAATGAACTATATGAAAATTGTAGATATGTTTTGATTTAAACTAGTTATAGTAGCTTTATTGAGCATTTATTGTTTTCATAACATCATATATCACTTTTTGCCTAAATTTTCAACAAAATTGTGTTTTTAATTAAAAAAATTTGGTGTGGATGTTAAGTACATTGCTTTTTAAATAAAACCTGAAAATTTCAGTTCCTTTCATTAAGACTGGTATGTGAAAATTCATTTTGAATTTTAAGATACCTCACCAGACCAACTTCAGGCGCATATTTTGAAGCTTTCCGTCAAGTGATTCCTTTTTCTTATTGCATTAATTGATAGAACATACTAGGGTCTACAAATTAATGAAATAAAATTTGGGAGCCGGACATGGACAGTGGATCACAATTGAGAATATAGCAAAAAATATGCAAATTTTTGACTTCAAAGTTAATTTTCACTACTCAAACTACATAAAATCTGTAAATTATGCATGTGATGTTTTTAGATATAAATGAGACCTACAAAATACTGCAATCTAAAAATATTTAGAAAGCCTGATATAGTCATGAGGTCCAAAAAATGACAAAAAAACTAGTTTTTTCGAACTTTTTTCATTTTTTAGGAACCAATATGCACAAAAAGTATATCATGTGGATATTCATAAGAAAGTTCTCAATTGTTTCTATCAAATAAAAAAAGTTTGAAGACAAACGGATAAGTAGGTGAAGCACAATAGCATTTTAAAAATTACGTGAAGTACAAAAATTCAAACCCTCTTTTCTCGTGGACCAGGCACTTCCGGGGGAAAAAATTATTTTTCCCATAAACTAGGGACCAATGTCTACAACATAAGCATATAAGCTGAATTTTTGAATTTTTGACAAAAATACAAAAGTTGTAAATTTTATTGAAAATCTCACAAAAAAGAATTTGAAAAGTCATAACATACTATCCTAATTAGAAAATACATTGAGTTTGACAAAAAAAAGTATGGAATTTTCAACTTTTGTATTTTTTACCTATGCTGCACGTTGATCGAAAAAGTGAAAAGTTTGTAATTCGAAAAAGTCCCAAAATCAAATTGAAAGTCACTTTTTTTTTCAATTTTGCCCCATAGTGATATGATATGATACGTTTTTGTGATTAATGATATTTTAAGGAACTATAATAATTAAATAATAATAATAGACATGTTCAATTTCAAAATAAATAATTTTATTATTATGCTTTAGCTCTGATTGTTTCATTTTTAAAACTTTTGAAGCTTTGCATTTATAGGTTTTGGAAGTTCTCGTGCGTAATTTCCTTCTTGATTAACTATTATTGGTATATCTGGCAGTGGAGATTTTGTTGTCTCATCAATGTTCACCCAATTGTCAGGTCTTTCAATTCGAGTCAGTAGTTTAAATGGTACAAAAAAGGTATTTCCAAATTGAGTCTTAGTCTTTGCGTCTACAAAATTTCTCGTCTTAATGTCCTTAATGTCACTATTAGTTCTAGTAAGTCGTGACCTTGCTATGTTAACAACCTTTTCACTTTTGCCATTGTCACTGCTGTCTAATAGCTTGTCATTAATTTTAGTCGGTTCATTTTCATTGTCGTCCTCGTCCTTGTCAACTAATCCTTCTTTAGGTTCACCTGACTTTATAGTATGGTATTTATGAAGGAAATTTTTCTTAAAGTAATATTTGATACTATGTACGGTCGATGTCTCAGGTTTGTAATAGTCATTATAAGAAACTTTATAGTTGTTGGTAAGTGGTCTATAAAAAGTATTTTGTGGTCTTAAGTATCCGTCAAAATCGTCATTGTCTTGGTCATGTTCATAAGAAGATTCAGTATGATAAGATGGTTTATAGCTATTATAAGATGGAAGTTTAACATGCGTAGGTTTATTAGTAAATCTTTTATTATTAGTAGCAGTTGAAATTAAATATGTAAGATTAGTTCGGTCAATGTTAGAATAGTCAGAATTAGAATAGTATTTGTCAGCAGGTGTGATAGGAAGCAAAGATTGAAGTAATTGAGATGAAATAGAATAATCTTTATAAACTGTTCGTCTCGTCGTTCGGTCAAGATTTATAAAATAATGAGATGGAGCAGGTGATGTTCGTCTTGTCGTTTCAACAATTAAGAATGTCGAAAAGTCAGCTCTTTTTGTAGTTGTCGCGTAAGTCGGTCGATTTGAATAGTATTGAGCAGAAGGTCTTTTATTATTGTAGCGATTGGGTGATACATTTGATGGAATTGCCATGTTGTCGTAACTAGGATTTATCGAGGATGAAAAACTAGGTCCGTTTGTCGGTCCATTAATAGATGTGTCATAACTGAAAGGAGTCGAGAATTTGTTTGATAGTGGAGAAACATCCGGTTTCACGTCAGGTCTTGGTCTATTATAAGGTCCATCATAGTTTGGTCTATTGTTCATGTATGCAACAGGTCTTTTAGTAGTCAGAGTTACTATTGGTTCGTCTAACGGCGGGTACAGTGGATAAAAATTATTATTAGGTCTTTGCGAGTTGTATACGTTATTGTTCGGTCTATAGTCATTGTCATAGCTATAGTCATATTGTTTTATCGCTCCATGATCACTGTAAAAATTGTGATTAATTCGACTCTCAAGTGTCTCTGTCGTATTTGTCTTATTATCGTTATCAGATTGTACAGTCGTTGTAATTGCCTTGTTATCTAAGTACTTTGTTGCATTGTCTTCGTTACGAAATGTCTTTTGCCGAATTTCAGTATGTTCAATGTTTAGTTCAGGTAAGTCATCAGTCAAGTCAATTGTGTCACTTTTATGTTGAATTTTCATGTCAGGTTGTGTCTTCTTTTTATTGTCAGTCGATCGTCGAACTATAGTCGAGTTTATCTTGTCAGTCTTACTAAATGGATTGTTGGATGGTCTTTTAGTCGTTTTTATAGTCGAAAAGTCTACTTTATTGTCAATTATTGAAGAGTTTGGTTTCTTTGTAGTCACAGTTGTTTTTCTTTTACGTTTTGTGGTTTTTGTGGCAACAGTTGTAGTTGAAAAGTCAACATTATTACTAATTGTCAATGCAGGCTTCTTTGAAGTACTTGGTTTTGATGTTATTACAATTTGTGAAAAATCTACATTGTTCGAGATTATTTGAGCATTTGGATTAAGTGAGGATGGTTTGCCTACTGTAGAAGTCACGTCATTAAACTGTATGTTTGGTCGTAGAGTAGATGAAGCTGGTTGTCTAGGCGGAGAGGGTTTTCCAACAGTAAATGTCACCTCATTTTGTCCATTTGGTCGATTTGTGGATGGTTTTCCAACAGTAAAGTTAACGTTATTAAATTGTAAACTTGGTCGGGAATTAGGAGAATTTCCTAAATTAAAAGTCACGTCATTAAACTGTCCGAAAATATTAAAAGGATTTAATGTCGTCGTAGAATGTGTTATTGAGTTTTGGTTGTCAGTCAAAAATATGTTAACTTGTGGTTCAATCAAATTGTCAGTGTCAAAGTCACCCTCTTTATTGAATGGATCTCTTTCGATCCAAGGCTGTAAATTCATTGGTGCTAAGATCCCACTTCCACATCTAATCCGTTCATTTCCAGGAAATTCATTTGGTAAAAATGAGTGAGGCTGCAAGAGATTTATGCTACCCAAACTTCTACACAAAATCTGTAAAAATTATTATTTTTAAGCCACTCACTATGGGGCAAAATTGAAAAAAAGCGGCAATTAAGGAAATTTTTGAACAGTTTTGAACTACGCTTTCAGGGTTATTTTTTCTTGTAGGGGACATCAAAATTGACTTTTATGCCAAATTTCAGGTCATTTGATGCTGTTTTTACAATTCTGTGGCTGTTTGAAGTTGAAAATGAGTGAAAATTTTGATTTTTTCACGTCTTATTTAAACTGTCACATCTTTTTAATAGTTAAAGATATTAAGAAACGCTTTTCGGTTTCTAATAGTGTCATGCAAGAGCTTTGTTTTCATTATGTACAAAATTTGTAATTTTGTAGTTTTGGTATCAGTATGGGAAGAAATGTGTAAAAATTCTATGAAAAATATATTCAAGCATGCCGTAAAGATCTTAAATGGCCATTTTTCAGTCATATAAGCACATTGTGTTTTAGCCTCTGCCTTCTAGTTTTCAAAAATGTATAAACATCAAAATTTCTTTGGTACTTTTTTGAGATAAATTGATTTAAATAAGTAGCAGAATAATTCAACAAAAAATAAAATATCTTAAAAAAGTTACGAAACAACAACTAAAAATGAGTTTTGTGTTATTTTTCGATGAAAAACAATATTGAAAATTAAATTTATGAAAGACACTTTTTTAAGTTTTAATAGTCATAAATATCATATATAATCATGAAAAACCTAAAAACAATACCTAATTTTGTTTTTATGTGATATTTCTAGAAATGACGTTTTTGAGATTTTTTGTTGTTTAGGGTCGTTCACAAACAAGTCCTAAATTCATGACCAAGATAATACTAAACTACAAAGTATTATATATCCTTAGAAAGGTCTAGACTTAAGCTACAATAAACTGTAAACAGAATTAAGAAATATTAAGGTACACAAAAATATAAGCAGTTTGAGTGATGCGAAAACCATACAAGTCGTCAGATTTGAAAAGTACCCTATATCTTGACAGATTTTGAACTTTTTGAAAAAATTTCTTCGCAATTTGTTTTTAAATATTGTTTTTCATCGAAAAATAACACAAAACTCATTTTTAGTTGTTGTTTCGTAACTTTTCTAAGATATTTTATTTTTTGTTGAATTATTCTGCTACTTATTTAAATTAATTTATCTCAAAAAAGTACCAAACAAATTTTGATGTTTATACATTTTTGAAAACTAGAAGGCAGAGGCTAAAACACAATGTGCTTATATGACTGAAAAGTGGCCATTTAAGATCTTTACGGGATGCTTGAATATATTTTTCATAGAATTTTCACACATTTCTTCCCATACTGGTACCAAAACTACAAAATTACAAATTTTGTACATTATTAAAACAAAGCTCTTGCATGACACTATTAGAAACCGAAAAGCGTTTCTTAATATCTTTAACTATTAAAAAGATGTAACAGTTTAAATAAGACGTGAAAAAATCAAAATTTTCACTCATTTTCAACTTCAAACAGCCACAGAATTGTAAAAACAGCATCAAATGACCTGAAATTTGGCATAGAAGTCAATTTTGATGTCCCCTACAAGAAAAAATAACCCTGAAAGCGTAATTCAAAACTGTTCAAAAATTTCCTTAATTGCCGCTTTTTTTCAATTTTGCCCCATAGTGCCACTGTGCCTTTAAATGTTAAATTGCAACAAACCTGTGACAGTGTGACTTGTCTAATTGAGTTGAGCTGTGCAAGTGTGAAAGATGACTCAAAACCGGAATTCTCATACCAAAATCTATCACCTTTACGTAAATTACTAAACTGTTGTGCAATAATACATGCGAATGTGGGTCCTACAAGACCTCCTCGAACTGGTCTTTCACTAAGTCCACCAACAAATAAATCAATATCTTCAATATTTGAATAAGCTCGTCTCATTCTATTAGCACTATTAGGCCCAGCCACTACTTCCAAATCATCCCAATTCCTAATGCTTGATAAACCACAAGGTTCTCTCCAATCAACATACGATGGCAATCCATGATCTCTTCCACGTTGAATATTTATTGCTGCCAAGTCCATACCAAATGGGAATATTCCAGATTGGAATAGATGATTAGTCAATTCAGGAGTCATAAATTCATCGCGTTTCAATGTCCTTTGTGTAGTCATACCTCTGATAATTCGATGTAATGATCCAGTTTCTCCAATATCACCATGCGAGTTCTCTTCATGTAGCGAGACATTATTGTTGATAAATCGATAATTTGAATCACTTCTTAAAATTGTTCCCTGCACCATTGAATGTCCAAAGCGAAATGCTGCCGCTGAGAAAGCATTTGCAATTGTTGGATTAATTTTTGGATCATAATCGTCATAAAAGCCTGATGTTTTCAAATCTAATTCAAATAATCGACACACTTCACGGCCCAGTACTAGAGGCAGAAATTCGCGATACGTAATATGTTGAAAAATAGCAGCAATTATCCGTCTGGTTTCTTGATAAATTTTTTCATCGCTCCAATGATTATTCATGTCAGATAATTCCAGTGCTATACGATTGTGTTCAGCAACGAAAACTGTGTGAAGTGCTAATAACCCCGGCTGTTCGCCAGCTCTCGAATCACCAGCTCGTATACATTGATGGCCAAAGCCACCATGCAAGCATATATCTTCACTTGGTGGTCCTCGACCAAACAAAAGTAGTCCATTACGTAGAATTCGTGCATTATCAGCTGTTCTTGGACTACTTGAATAAACTGGTGAAGCATCAATAAAGCTTGTAACTTGATTTGTTTGTTCGCGCCATGACAAGAAGCAATCCCGACGTTGTGCCGGTGCTGATCGTAAAAATTCCAAACATTTAACGCCCAAATGAGCAAGAAATGGATCATCGCGAGGTACTTTCATCGGCAAACATAATGGATGTACAGTCACTGATTCACAACATCTTGGAATGGAGCCGTTGATTGAACGGGGTTGCAATGTTGCTGTTAAGTCGTGATCAATCAACTGTCCCCATTGTAATAGCATCATAGTCACTTGTGATTCATCTTCTCTATATCCATGAACAACTAAGCTGACAAATCGTGCTGATGGCAAAGCTCCACCGTCAACAGAATTTCTGTGAATTTATGTCACAATTGAGTGTTTTGTATTTTTCCGAAAAGCAAAATAACGAAAAACAATTTTTTACGAATTTTCAAATTTACGAATGTTCATTTTTACGAAAATTTTTATGGTAAAAACTTATAGGATATAATTTGAATCTCAAAAAACCTTTGGTTAAATCAAATATTAAAAGACAATTAACATTAATTTCATCATTTAAATGCGAATAGATATGATATAATAATTATGAAAAGATGAAGGATTAATAGAACTGAAAAAAGATTTGCATTTATTTAAATGTGAAATATTTTTTCTATAAAAATTTTATTTTGCTATAATATTTTCTCATGATATTACCCATAAAACAAGAAAAAATATTACACATTTAAGTAAATGCAAATCTTTTTGTAGTTCTATTAATCCTTCATCTTTTCATAATTATTATATCATATCTATTCGCATTTAAATGATATAATTAATGTTAATTGTATTTTAATATTTGATTTAACCAAAGGTTTTTTGAGATTCAAATTATATTCTATAAGTTTTTACCTTAAAAATTTTCGTAAAAATGAACATTCGTAAATTTGAAAATTCGTAAAAAATTGTTTTTCGTTATTTTGCTTTTCGGGAAAATAAAAAACACTCGTCACAATTAATAAAAATTTAAATTTTTACCTCATTTTTTTGGACCTACCTTATAGCTTCTAAACCATCAGAATATTCCGGATGAAGAAATCGATGAAATGGCATGTGAGAAGATCCCCATCGAAGTTTACGGAAGTTGTTGCACGTACCATCATGTGTTCGATATCTTTTTGTTGCTGGTACACATTGTGGTGGTTCTCTAGTTGGGCATAGTCCCTCTAATGGAGTCTTCCTTAACGAGATTTTTTTCTTCGGTGTGTTCTGCCTTCCAAGGCCAGTAAAGTCCAAGTTTATGCTGTAAATCAGACATAATTATTGAAAAACTTTCTTCGACGCTTCATAGAAATCGAAAGTTGTTGCTCTTTTCCATTTTCGGCATTTACAACATTATCATCACTTTTACTTTATGTCTTAGAAGCGACTAAACACGAATGTCATTCACAATTTTCACTTTCAACCATATTTTATGCTCATCATTTTTTTATTTTCATTTTTTTTCTTCTTTTTTTCAAATTTTTATTTCCATCTCCATCCTCTAATATATGTATAAGGCCTTAAGTGGCTTGTGAACACAGCTAAGGTTATTTTAAAAATGAATCGTAGATCGTGAACGCCTCATGTATTTAAGCAGCAGTGAAAGTGGGAGGCTCTATAGCTCTACGATCGACCTCATTGTTTCTCTCTCGTCAACGCTCACAAAAAAACAGCAAGCAAGCTTTTAAGCATGCTGTTTAGTTAACTTGCATTTGTTATTATTTTTTTTTTGTTAATTCTTTACGTTTTTCTCCTTTTTTGTTTGCTCCGGAGATGGAACAATCATAAATTTGTAAAGCCATAAAAAGTTTAGTGAAGAATCACTGGAAGTAGAAACAAATTTGAACTTATTTGATCATGCATGAAAGTCGCCCGATGTTGAATAAAAGAAATCGAAAGTGGAAAGTTGCTGCATCTACCGCGTTAAACACATGCTGATGCATTTTTTTGTTTTATTCAGTCGCACATATATGAAAAGGGCAAGCAACGTCAGTGAATGATAAACCGCAATCACTTTCTCCTTCACTTCTCGAATTACATCGTATGCTGCTTTTTAAAAAATTAATTTGATCAAAATCACAAAAGCAATTTTTATGGGGTTAAATTTTCAACTTGCTGAAAATTGTCTCTAAAACTCATCTTTTATGCCTTATTTAACCCAAAGTCACAGAACAACTTACTTGACGTCGATTATAGAGCCTGTAGATCCAAAATGAAAAGAAAATCCATGATATTTCCAGTCATTATTAATTGTTCCTCATCAAAATTTATTCAATTCCTGGCTGTTCCTCAATCTATATCTCTCTTTCAATGTTAGTGAATTTAATTCACAAAATAATTGATTTAATTTGGAATTTCTAGGCTCAATTCACCTGAAAAGGTGGATATGCGAAAATATTCGAAAAAATTAATTTAATGCCTAAAATCAATACAATTTGATATTTTCTTACTCTTTGGTGTCTAGGTAAGTGTTCTATATAAAATTGTTGCCAACAAATGGCTTAATTAATTATTTTGGAATAAAACGCAACTTTAAGTGACTTCACAATGACAAAACGATTTGAAAAAGACTGATCAAGTATAAAATTGATTACAAACTCATTACAGAAGCGCATTAATGATCAAAGTCATAGTAAAGTTAACAAAATATTAAAATTATCAATGAAATTGTCTAAAATATATATACTTTAATTAATTAAAGTGAAAAAGGCATTAAATTATTGCAAAAATTATTGGCATATTAACGGATTTTTGGAATTTGAAAATACTGAACTAATTTTGAACTTAATCGAAATTCAAAATTTTATATAACGTAAAATTTTTCAACACTGCTCTTTTCATCTATATGTGTTGTATTGGGGGGTCTCCGAAAAGGTTATGATGCGATCAGAATTTTTAATCCCCTTATAAGTATCATTTATTCAGCTCTAGTTGTAAAATTGAAAACTATTAATATGGAGAAAGTTCGCAATTAGATATATAGGAATAAACAGTCAATATTATTTTCCATTAAACACGAGACATTATCCAAATGATAGACTATTAGAAAATATTCTTTTTAATTCAAGCATGAAACGATAAACTGTGCTGACTTTTACAACTTAATTGGTATAGCTAAGAGGAGAAATATGTACATACGGGAGATCTAGTTCATGACATAAATTGATACACATCAATGTGAATGTTCTTGGAAAAAAATGGAAGAAATTTTTTTTTACATATTTAAGTCTTTTAAGAGTAAGTCTCAGGCTATGTTTGAGGTATTTGAATAAAATGTGTAAATATTGAAAGGAATCAAAAGTTTTTAAACGAATGAAAGTTCTGTTGACAAGATATGGTCTTTATCTCTCGTTTGAGCAGTCCTAATATTTTTAACAAAGTTTCTCTTGGACACTCGAAATTAACAACAGTTTCTATTTTCTTCAATCCAAACATACAAAACACACCATGCAAAATTGTTCAAAAAGTTTATGTCTATTTTCAATTATCTCGCTAATTAATTAATCATCAAAATATTAACCAAAAAAGGAAATAAATTACTTAAAAATACACAACTTGTTCGACAGTTTACAGCACTGAATCAATAATATTTTTACGGCAATGAAAGTGAAAACATTGCCAAAATTTAAAAATGATAAAAAATGACGTCGTTCGGTCATTAAACTTTCCTCCTTTCTTTTAGCATAACTTCTTTCATACCATATTACTGAGAGATATCAGTGATCAGCATCGAGGCAGTAATAATTTTATACACTTTTTCCTTCCTCTTTCATTTAACATGTTTACTTTTGTAAATCTTTGTCCGATTCGTAAAATAGTCTTGCAGATGTAGGAAAGATACGAAGAAAAATTGAGGCAGATATATAATTTAATTAAAATGTTGTCCGTTGATTTTCTAGCCTTGTTGGTTTGTTAATAAAAATAACGTTAAGTAGTAAAACTTTTCACATCCAAAACGAGTTTAATCTCATTGCATTTTATCTTTACTGCTGCGTTTTTCAAAGCTATGTTTTATTATTTCCCGGAAAATCAGATCCATTTGCATGTGTAAAGCACTTATATGAACTTTCAGTACAATCTTCTTGTTTGACAATTACCAACGCCTCATTATGCTGCCTTTTTTTAACGAAAAAATAAAGCTCTTTTCAGGCATTAGTTAAAATAAGAAATATTCAGAGAAATTATAAATCGTGAATGGATGCAAATTAGATAAACAGAAAATCAATTGAATAAAGAAAAACTTTCACGGCCATAGACGTTTATTTTTTCTCTTTTGACATTCAATTTTATGGATACATTGTTTACTGGATGTTTACTGATTGAAAAAAAATAACAGTTTGTCTAACCAGCATAACAGTCTTGTGGCATTTCTTCGTTAATAAATAGATAATTAAATTAATGGAAATCTATTGAAAATGATGAGCCATTTGCGAAATAAAGTTGAGTAGTTTATAACTGAAAATCTTATAGTTACTTAAATGCTATTGCCTCATCATAATTAATTTTATTAGATGAAAAGAAAGTTGGTTGAGAAATTTTAACTTCTGTTGTCTGTTATAATTATTATTGAAACCTTTCAACAGTTCAAATATGGAAATTGTTGAACAGCATTAATCTTTAAGTAAACAAACATAAATTCAGATGAAAAACAAAATATCTCGTGATAAATCAACCATAAAAGAAGTATTCGGCAACTCCAAATAACAACATTCATGCACTATGGGATAAAATCGAAATTTTTTTCCAAAAATTATTTTATTGGCTTATTTGAAAGGTCTTTATCCAAGAAATCAGAATCTATTTTAATTTTGACCCCAAGTGCAGCAGTGCTGGAGATATAGCCCGAAATGTATTTTGATGACCTTCGATAGTTAATATTTTCAATTTATCAGAACTTTTTCTTGTCTCAACCAATTCAATCAACCTTTCTTTAAATGACAGATATAAGTCTAAGCTTAAATATAAATATGAGTCACATAAGTTTTACTTCATGAAAAGTGCTTAAAAATTGACGAAACTTCAAATGTTAGTAATACGGCAAACTTTTTTTGAGTATGTAGATTTCTGATGCATTTAAATGTTTTTCTTTTTTCATTAAATTGTATCCCTTTACTAGATCTACAAGAAAAATATGACATGTTTCCCATACGCTAGCAGTGCCCTTGATAAATTCTCAACTCAAAATTTGATTTTATCTTATAGCTAGTACTTTTATCTTTTCAACAGTACCAAATTTGTAATATATACTTGAGATTTCATATAGTTTTGAGCAAAAATGTTAAGTATGGTTCTTCACACACCTCGAATTTTGAGTAACTTTTCAGTTTTTTCAACATTATTCAGGGATATTGTACTCATATATGACATATTATATATCGTTGGAAAGGTAATGTAAATAGCTCAACATAAAAGATAATACAAATACGTTTTGTTAAGCATATAGTGTATTTAAAGTCATTTACATCTCATTGAAAATGGAAAATGATGACATTTCAAATAAAAATGGTCCAAGTCCATGCCAAAAACACAAAATGATTTTAAAACATCAAAAAAACTTTTTTCTAACATTCCTGAAAGTTTTATCAAGTTTGGGCATGATTTTGATGAAAAAAGTTGAAAAAGATTTTTGAGGTGCATGTAGATGACATGTTTTAAATTGTTCAAAGTTGAAAAAGGCAGAACTTTTTTCCAGGTTTTCACCGTTTTAGAAAGATACAAGTGAGGACTATATAAAACAGTTAAAACTTATCTCTCCACTAACTTGGAATATGCAGTTATAGTCAATTGAAGTCAAAGCATAGTTAAAAACCGTATATTTTTTGAAAAAATCTCAATTTTTTGATGCATAAATATAATTTTAAACCTTGAAAGGGATATTTTTCTTGTAGATCTAATAAAGGGATACAATTTAATGAAAAAAGAAAAACATTTAAATGCATCAGAAATCTACATACTCAAAAAAAGTTTGCCGTATTACTAACATTTGAAGTTTCGTCAATTTTTAAGCACTTTTCATGAAGTAAAACTTATGTGACTTATATTTATATTTAAGCTTAGACTTATATCTGTCATTTAAAGAAAGGTTGATTGAATTGGTTGAGACAAGAAAAAGTTCTGATAAATTGAAAATATTAACTATCGAAGGTCATCAAAATACATTTCGGGCTATATCTCCAGCACTGCTGCACTTTGGGCCAAAATTAAAATAGATTCTGATTTCTTGGATAAAGACCTTTCAAATAAGCCAATAAAATAATTTTTGGAAAAAAATTTCGATTTTATCCCATAGTGTCATGTTTACTTAAGGAATAAACAAGAAAAGAATTTTCCGCCTACATGCTGCATTGCAAAAACGTAATATTCTAAAAATAACTTTACTATGCAGGAAGAGAAGCGATAATCGAGATTATATACTAGATATGATAAAGCACGAAGAAGCTCTTTGCTGAAACTACCATCAATCGAACGAACGTTTCCGTGTAACAGTAAATGCGCAGCATTCCATAATATTCAAACGGCAATGTTTTCGTCTTTTATTTCAATTTGTGGCTTATTAAAAATGAGTTAATCGGCTGTTACTGATTCTCTCTTTAAAAGAAAGATATAATCTTCAGAAAAAGTGAAATCTAGAGAGTTGAAAATTACTGCAAAAAAGTTGCTACAGGCTTAAGAGATGAAACGAATTTACTGTCTAAGCTAATGATACTTTAATGCACAATGACTGTAAAATGAATAGAATTTTTTTAGAATTTATTCGGCAGAAAATTTACAGCTACGTTGATTGTCTCAGAGGACGAAATTAATTTTAACATGATGGTGCAAAGTTGTTGCTGAATAAATTTTGGATCTTGAGACAAAACAACAAACTGAATTGCTACACAAAGGAATGAATTTTTAAAGAATGCAACACAGCACGAACATAAAGAAGAAATTCCGACGTGCTTAAAACTAAGCATTTATCATCGCTGAAGATTATTAGCCATAAATAATTTAGTAATCTCTTTAATGAAGCAAATTAATAATTTTTTTTTGTTAATATAAAAGCTTTATACAAGTTACGTGACATCATCGAAATTGGAATTGCAACAACTTCTTTCTTTTGCAGTTAATCGCTTCACAGCTTTTTTTTCATATGAATTACAGTTTATGACGAGACGATCGAACAATTGGAATGAAAAATATTTTTTATTGCTCAAAAAAAGAATGAATCATTAATTGAGTTACCTAAAAGTTTTATATTGATCGCATAATAAAAATATCCAAATTTCGCCTGATCCAGTGAACATTCAGTTCACAGTTTAAAAATCCACTACATACAGTAATCAACCGTTAGCAAGATATAGAATGACTTTTTTATGTAAGGAAATCGCACAGCACGAAGATAATGAATTCTCAATTACTGGAGTGCTCGCCCAGGTTATAAAGATTTCATTAATTACGAAATCCGTAAGATGGTCAATATTATTATTTAACCAAGAGTTTCAGAAGAAAAAAAATCTCATGTAATTGAGAAATAAAAATATCATCATCGCCAGCATTAATGCTTAAAAAGCAGTGAAAGTTTCTTTTCTTCTTCTGCTTGCATATTCACATGCTATAAAAATATTATTTTAATTTTTCACATTGGTCATATGTAAATTGTAGAGAGAGAAAAGGCATTAAATAATCAATGATAAAAGAACGAGCATCCATGGGTAAGTGATTCGATGTAGCAGTGAGAGATATATTTCCGCATAATGTAATAATACAACATTAGATACCTCTTTTGTCTGCGTACAATGATAGGTAAATTTAATCATGTTTTTCTTTCTTCCTCAATTTGTGGTTTTTCATTTTTTTTTCGATGATTCTCTTAAATCATTCAACTTGCTGCTATAGAAAGTGAAATTATCCAGCTACCGTATTTTTTCATTTAAATGAATCATTCATGATGATATTAAAAAATGATGCAATTTTCTCATCATAATCTCTCTCTCGTCTGAATTTATTTAACATAAGCTTCCTCTATTGTTAAGCGAACGCACTTTGTTTAAGCTGTTAATTACATTTTTCAGTCATGTTGCATGAAATTGCTTGCTGCTTGTGAAAAAATAATTTTTTGTTTGTCTCAAAAACACACAAACTTTTGTGGAAATGCTTATCTCATTGCTGTCGACTAATTGGAATTTGTGGTAGAATTTTATGTATGAGATGAAATTGATTATTAACTTCCTGTGCTGTATAGATTTTATAATGCTTCTCATAAAATTTTGCGAATTGCTGTTCAAAAAACTTTACAGTCTTGGAATTTCCAATTAATTAGGATTTACAGAGTACATTTCCATGACAAATGGGTCACTAAAATAAGATACTTGATTTTTTTCTTGACACTACAAAAAACTAGCTTAATTTTAGCTTTGTTTTGCATTTTTTAAATTTCAAATTGTTAAGAATATCTCGACTCTAACCTCTTACTAAATCTAGTAATCTCAAAGATCATACAACTCTGTTTCCCACATATCACATCAAATTGACGAGTGGTTCCTTTCATCCATGAAATCACATCCACCGTTTATATTCTCAACAATAAGCTAATTTTAACAAAAGAGTTTTTAAAGACTCGAAAACTTTAATCAAAACATTTTTCAAGCATGCTTCAATGTCATACATTGCTTGACTCATTCCATCGTCTCAATTACGCTCGTATGTGAAGAAGGTGGAGAAAGTAGACAATAACATGTCTATACGTCTGCCTAATTTCTGTTGTGTTCAATAATTCATAAAACACGTGCTTCAATTCGGCATTAAGCGTGAATATTGCAAAAGTCTGCGTGTAGACGGGAAGTGTCTTCGACGCATTTCTTTAGGTGAGTGAGGCATAATTGAAATTGATATAGGCAATTGGGCTGTCAAGAGTTTTGTAAGTTTTAGTAAGTTTAAAAGCAATTTAAATCATTATTAAAAGGCTATTTCTTCAATAAATCGCAACAATTAGGACAAAATTGAATCAATAACCCAATTTACTATATAAATGCCAACCATAAGGATATTCGCTGTTTTATTTCATTTCTAAAGATTACATCAAATCACGAATCATTCACGTATTAATTTCAATTATTATTTAACTAGGCAGTCTCGTCAAATTTGTAAATAAGATATTAAATCTCTGCAGCCATCAACTCATAACACATCATCATGTTATTATATCGTTGAAATAGAAACCAACGCACTTTGAAAAGCGTAAATTTGATTAGTAAAGCAAATAGCTAATTTGGAATATAACACGGGCAGAATAATGTTCGCTGTTGCCAAACACAAAATGCTCACAATTAAGCATTAATTGTTTACCTCAATTATCATAATCTTACACTCGTCCCAAAAAAAAAAAAAAAATAAAATGTTAAATTGAAAAAAGTACTTTAAAACAATGCAAAGTATTATGACATCTTGCACAAAATGGGTAAAAGACATGAGAACCAACGATGGCAGTTTCCCAGGTGTCTTTATTGTGTGATTTTTATCGCGTGAAAACCTTTTTCTTCTTCTTTAGTGCCGAAAGGAAATTTGCACTGTGAAAAATATTTGTTATGAATGTAAAAAGTGACATATCGGTGAGAAAAAACGATTAAAAAGAAACCTGAGGCTATGAGTGACATGATGTTTATATCTCTGATGACGAAACATTACCAATTAGTTAACAAAAACAAAAAAAAAATATAACTTGTTTAACGCATATAATAAGCAAGTAAGTAAATAATCAAATTACATGTAAAGCTGTACACAACCTGCTACGTTTGTACCGTCATTTCCTTCTTGTTAGGAGAAAGTATGCGTCTACATATGGACTGTAATTTCCATCTAAATACTTTTTAAAGGCATGCATATGTCCACATGTTTATTTAAAGGCATACTTATATCCACGCACTGTCACTGCTGTTATTAAAAAAGTTATAATATCGGCTGCTCTAACTTCCGAAAACCTAATGTGGAGTAAACAAGTTTTTTTTCCCAGTACAAATTTCATTGACTTCCAGTGATGCTTGATTGTAGGATTTTTTCGAAATTTTTTTTGTCACATCGAAAGTTTGATATCAAATTTTGGCTTGATTTGAGGCACAAATGGTGATTGAATGTTTGAATTATATCCGAATTTTGTGAGCAAAATAAAAAGAACTCAATAATTAATCCAAAATTGCTTGAAAAGACTACAATTTCAAATCAAAACATTATTTTTCAAAAAAATTGGCGGGAAAAATTTAAAACATTAAAAATAACGTACATCCATACAAAATTGTATTGAGATATAGAGGAAATGGTAGCAAAATTTCTTTAATGATTTTATTGTTATAATTGCGAAATTGAAGAATGTAAATCAAGTGGAATGAGTAATTTTCTTTATTAATAATTCGTTCCTAAAAGGTTGCATCATAAAAAGTAGCAAGAAATCAAATTGTGGCAATAAAATTCAAAGTTTAAGTGCATTAGAAATAATAATAAAGTAATAAAGCAATTGAAACATGATTCTATTGAAGCTATACATAAAAATGCTAAAAGCATCAATAAAAAAACTTGAGCTACTTTAGAGCATCTTTTATGAACTTTTTGGTTTCAATGGAGGGAGCATAGCTCAGTGACGTATGACATTCGTGCTATAAAATTGACCATCTACATCTTAAATGAATTTTTACTTGTTACACTTTTTATAGCTCCATATATGAGAAATAAGTTGTAATTAATGTTTATTAATGGTTGCAAAAATTAATAATAATAAAGTGGTTGCAAAATGTCATGAATTTAATTGATTGATTCGTCATTGTGTAAAATTAATGAGTTCGTTTAATTACATTGAATGTCTTACCTCTCCTGAAGCTTCTTTGCAACATATAAACTAGCATATGCCGCTTTAGCCTCATCAATGTTTGAGTCATTGTTCATTGGTGCACTAAATAGACTTAGCTTTACTGATGGATGATCGATTTCGAGAAGCTCGCCTGTAATTTTTTAATTTTTGACTTTCAATAAAGTTCAAAAGGATTTCATTAATATATTATGTTTTAATTGCCCTGACCTTTTCGCAAAATTTCTGGTTCCACTCGTTCATATAAATCGATCATGGCATTTAAACCTTGCGTTGCTGCCACTTGAAGTGCTGCATTTAAAATTGGATTTTTACGTCTCTTGTTTTTATTCTTATTCTTTAATCCTTTAATATCCTCCCCATTATCGGGAATTGCTGAAATATTTTTGTTGGAATGCCGTGACTCAAGTAAGTCAACATGCAATGGCTTGATATAATAAATTTCGGAATCATCTTCATGTAATGATTCAACTTCAATTGATGCATTCTCTGTTGTTGCTTCGTTATTATGACACAAAATACGCGACGAGATTGAAATTATTATAAATAATTTAAGAAATGTCTGTAATGTTGCCGCAGATGTCATCATATTGCTTATTAAAATCTATGCGAATTATTGTTTAAATTTACTCTGAAGTAAAGAGCAAGTTGATTGTTTTCGGTGGATGAATAAGGTGCATTTTAGGTGAAGTTTTGATTTTAATTCTCGATCTTAAAAATTTCCACAAAATGAGCACGTGGCAAGGTAATGTCATATCTATAGGAAACTCTTTGCGCTAGTGTTAATCGAACACTCGTCTTTACAGAAAATATAATTACAACATTCTTGTTTTTAACCATATCAAAGAGGTCTTATCCTTGCAATGGCAGATTACTCTACATAAAGCTCATATCTCTTGCTCTGACACTTCAAAAATAATACAATAAATCCAAAATAGCCATTTTAAACACAAACGCTCACTTGTTTCTATTAAAAGCTTGAAATTGAAGACGTTGTAATGAATAATAGGATTTAATGATGTGAATTGTGACAATTACAATCTGATTATTGTGTATGATGTTCAGAAGTCATGTCCCATATACTCTGCGTAATATTTATTTTGTGAACTTGTCAATTGAAAAGAAAATTTTATTTCATTTATTTTGCACAATTGAATAGTTGAAATGAGTCACGAATTTTTAATGTCTAGCACATAGAAAAGCAACATGAATGGTTAATAACAATAATAATTTATATGTCCATTTCGTCGCCTTCGATTTATATTATATTTTATTATTTCTGCTTCTCATCAACAAATTGCCACATTTTTCATGATGGAATGCTTATTATTTTTTACTTCGTTGACTTCTTCACAAATTATTCAATCAAAATAATGTGCAAATATAGTTAAAAATTGACTAAATTCGTCTATAATGATTAATGGTTTAAAGTTATAATGCTGAACTGTGATTGAATAACAAATAGGGATTTTTCATGATATCTATATTAACCTAAATCAAGTGCAGCAATATTCAAACGAGCATGATATTATTAGTCACTACCAAATAATTATTATTCATTCTGTTTTAACTTAAAATTTGTAATAAATTTCTTGTTGCTTAATTTTTATCGCGCATTTTTTAATTTTTTACTTTCGATTACTATAATAATATAAAATATTTCTGTTAAGGTATCACAATTTTCTCAGGCAAATCCCCTCTTCCTGTACAAGATGTCATAAGTGAATGACCCTTGAGACTAAGCATATTTATTCACTAAGAGGCACTAGTTGATTCGTAAAACCCATTCTAGCAATTTCATTTTTTTGATAATCAAGTCAATGCGGCAACACCATTTTCATAGAAAAACGACCGAAAAAAAGCTTGAGGAACAATTTTGAAGTTTAACATAAATTGTATAATGATGATCTAAATTTCAATTTTATGTAGGTATGTCAAAAAAGCATAACCGGTAGTTAGCACGTCTTATTTTGATTGACATTACGTAACATTTTTCTGATATGAGTTTAATGTTGCAGCACGTGTTGATTATTTTACAATTTTCATGTATCTTTATGTCATATATTTTTTTATTTCTTAGTAACATTGAATAATTAAGATATCGAATAAAAAGGCGGATAACCACAGTAAGAGTATGTATAATCTTTGTTGCTTTTCTGTTCCATTTAGCTTCACTTGTCCGCAAAGAATGTCTTTAATGGTATTAAACGGAACTCATTGAAATCAGTTGCAATTGTAAATTAAATCCCGGGTTTCTTTCACAAATTTGAGAAATTTTGAAATTTATTAAAAACTACAATTTTAAAAAATAATAATCTTTGACTGAAAGGTTATTGGCTTTACAACTTAAAGCTTATGCGAAGAGCTTTTAAACTTTTTCTTTAAAATGAGCTTTTAACTGTTTTTGAAATTGAAAAGCTTTGTAAAATTGTAACTTTATGTCTGATTGATGTTAATAAAGATGCAATGAAATTTCAATTACACTCATTTCCACTAATTTCATAATTTCAATCAAATATTTAATCAAATTTAATCACTTTTTAATGGAGGAAGCATTTCTCTTATGTGAAACATAAACAAAATTGAAATTAAAAGTCGATCGACTCTAGTAATGATCAACAGTAGAGAATTCAATGAACTGTTGTATAATGTTTATTTCTATTATCGGACATAAATTTTGGCGCCATTTTTTGGAAACTAATTGTGCTTTTTTCGTTCACTTTTGTAATTTTCTTAAATTTAAAATTGTGTTTTTTATTTGTAAGGTATGTTTAAACTGCCTTTTCCACTTTTTTCTATTTATAAATTCAGTTTTTCAGTGGTACTACTCTTTAATTTTAGAACAATTGCCAAAAATATTTTTGAAGTGGGAAAGTTTTTTTTTGAAGAAATTTTTATTAATCATAATTTTTATCAGAAAAAGCAATTTGAAAGTTCTTCTTTTCGAAGCAAAGTTACACCTTGATCAACCACTTTTGCATACTTTGTGAGATCTCACGTAAGATCTTTTAGTCGAATTGTCGAAAAAATACTTGATCCACTGACCGAACTAATTTTATGCTTGCATATAGAGTTAAATTTTTCTCATGAGCAGATATTAAATAAAAAACCAATCAATCAACTTCTCTTTACTCTTATTATTCATTCAATTGTAATTAAGATTTTTTCAGATTTTTTTAATGTTCTTCTTGTAGCTTGTTGTAAAAATACGAAAATATTGTTATTGTTATGAATATATATATACTTTCAATAGACCTCGACACAGTTCTTGAGTACTTTCAAATACGCGTGGATGAAGAATTAATTTGTTTTTAGCACGATCACACGGTGTGATCTTGAGCTCATCAGAAAGCTAACTGAAGGCCACAACTAATCCTCTTTTTTCGCTCTTATGTCCAGACTCTTATGTCTATCCAGTTTCTTTCTTTCTTCTTGATTACCAAAGAGAAAGAACACTCTCCCGAATCCAATTAAAATTGATGACGTGATGTAAATGAGATGAGTACATTCTTATAAAATGCTGAAAACAAGGAAAAGAAAATAACCAGCAATGATGATAATGATAATGCTGATGACGATGATAAATATGTTTTTTATTTATTCCAATATGTTCATCCATAAGCTGCGAAATAAAGCGTGGAAGAGAAATGTAAGAGAAGCAATAATGAAAGAGTTGATCTGTATCTTAATGATTCTGAAATGACTTCAAGGCAGCTTTTTTTCTGTCTCTCATTTCATCATAATCTGATCTGTGGCATGAAAATGTAAACACATATGTTTATCCAATACAAGATATATATATTTTTTTAATGTTCTTGCGAACCGCCAAAGATTCTTTTTGCTTTGTTAGACATAATTATGATAAAGACGAGAACTTGAATGGACAAAATGTGAGCATTAATACTTTAATTCAAATTGTTAATGCACAAAATATGGCATTGGAAGGAAAGAGAAGTAAAAAGTGGATGTAATACAATGTAGTATGCAAAAGAGCTATTGCCAAGAGTCATATTCGTGATATATTAGCTTAACAAATGTATGTAGCGTTAGAATGGAATCAGGTCTTTGACTTAGCATTTAAAAGTTAATTGTAATTTATTCAATTGAATTTATTTTTCAGGATTTCAAATCTGTCGAATACAAAGTTGCCCGTATTTCTTGAAAAAATTAATCGAACCTTAATAAATTATATTCTGCAGACCATAATTGAGTTGTGTAGCTCTTTGTAGTCTATCCTCGAAATTGCAAAAGATCTTTGTTTTAAGCTGCTTGCAGAAAATGTCATATTGCTTAGTTCTCAAGCAATTCCACACATTCAACAGGTTCTTGATTGAGACAGGAAGCCACGTGGTCAAGTTTTAGCAAATTGTTAATAACATTAATCACAAGCTCATGAAATTACAGCTGATTATAAAAGATCTAAATATATTTTTAAAACAATACAAGATCCAGTTGATTCTAGTAATGCCATAGTTTCATTCACATTCTAGACATGCAAAAAATCAGGAATGGTATTATTAGTTACCAACTAGGGAGATTAAGACATGATTTAAATTCGTCCTTGTTTGCCAAAAATAGCTAGCAGACACAAAACTTACAGTTAAAGAATTCAATTGCTGATGAAATCGTTTGGTCAGCATTTCCATCCTAAAATACTTCAAAAAATTCAAGCAGACATAATTTATAATTAAAGGAAGTTCTAGTCGGCGCCAGAGAAAAATATTTAAAATTAAAGGTCATACATAAATGCCGGGCATCATGAAACATTCTATTAAAAGTCTTTTTTATTATATCTCTCATTTTGGGCGCTTGACACAAGAAATTTCTGCTTGAACGCATTAATAATATAGCCGATTACCTTGCGCTTTTGCGCTTCAAACACAAATCTGATGAATTTATGCCGCTTACATAGCTAATGCGCAAAAAAAAAGATTTTAATTCAGTTTTCTATTTTTTTTTTTATTCAACAAGAGTATTTTTGAGATTATAAAAAAATTTCATTTAACAAAAACATTTTTTTTTTCATCAAGTTTTTAATAATTAAAGATGATAAATATTTCTTTAAACTTTTTATTAGATACAACACTTAAGAACTAATCAATATAAAAGAATTAAGTTTGAAATAATAAATAGAGCAAGAAACATGAACATGATCGAGAACAAAGAGCTTTTAATTTATTAATCGAGCGTCTTTAGGTCAAGAACATTCTGTTTAATTTGATTTTCATATGAAAACTGTTTTCTCATAATCAATATCAGTTCTCAAAAAATCTCTACTCGTACAATGTAATTTAAAATTCAATAATTTCACATTTATCTATCAATGAATCGTAAAAATCGTAGAAAAGAAAAAGTTTCAATGATTTTAAAATGGTAAAAGTTTAATGACCGTCGAAACACCTTCACAGATTTCATCATCGGTATTATTATAATTATTATTACAAATATATATTTTCTAAATTCACATTTTTTTCATGTGGGCTTCATTCATCATCCACAATAGAAAATATACTATATATCTCTTTATAAGATCACTTTTAAAAGCTTTAAAGGCATTTTGTCTCTTAATTGAATATTGTCTTCTTTTGCTTGTTTGAATGCTTCTATTTATTGTGATTGATTCTTGTCATCTTTTTGTATCTGATGGCAAGATTATGAACGCAATTAAATGTTTAATTGATTATAAAATTGTAAAAAACTTTTCGAGGTGGAAGAATTTTTTGGGGAATATCAACTCAAACTTTGAAGAGCCTTTAAATTAAAAATAAAATTTTCTGAACAATTTTAATGAGACATTAAAGCTCCAGGATAATCTCTTCTATATATTGATTGTTATTAGCAGTCAAAAATGCGTTTAAGTCATTTGTATTAAAAAAATTTTCACGCAAGCTTGTCTGAATGAGAATAATATTTCACAATGCACCATATATCTATGCAGTAAACAAGAATTAATATTCGCAAAAATAAACAATCAACAAGCTTCAATCTACTGTAATGATAATTATAATACTAGTACTGATCATTCCTTAAGTACGATTATTGAGATTATGCAAAATAAGAAGATGAAAATAATAATAATAAATAATGAAGAATACTTGATGATGATTCACTCAATATAAGCTAAAGAGCAAATTGTTTTTTCTTCTTTTTTTATCGAACCTAGAGTGCATCAGAGAAGCTCCATATGTATGTAAATAATTTTTCATGCTCACTCAATTTATTATTTCATTGCAAATTTAAATTGCACAATCAGTGAATAAATTAAAACAATTTTTTCTCTTAATTTTCTATGATTATGAAAGAGATTATACTCATATAAGGTAAATTTGTTTTTGAGAATTATTGTAAATGGACGAAAATTTTGCATCATCAAATTATTATTGCTGTTTTGTTATTCAACATGTGGATAATAAAAATATAAAATATGTTTTAAGAATCTTGTTATTGTTATTATATGCATACTATAGTGAATAAGAAGCAATTTATGCGTAGATAGTTATAAATGCTAAAGGTGTAATAATAATTTTACAGCCTAAAAACACTTTCCGTACTTGAGGCATATATGCATACAGATACATGTATTTACGGAATCACATTATTTATTATTAAATGGAATTTGTGACACTTTCCACAATTCTCGCTCCCTCTCTCTTTTCATCTTTCTCTTTCTCTCTTTCTCTCTTTCTCTCTCACTAAGAAATTTTTTATTTATTTTTCTTTGCACATTCACATAATGTGATTATTGTTAAATTAGATTAAGTTTTCATTATTTTTTTTTGTTTCATCTTTTCTTTTGTTTAAATTTAATGCCTTCGTCCAGCTTGTGATGATCGTGTCTTTTCGGCATGCTCCTTTTCACGTAGTTCCTTTATAGCACCTAATGAACCAAACATAACTTTTGCTGTAATTTTAGGACCTTGCATTACTGTTGCATTATTAGTGGGACTATTGTTAATGGTATTGTTGCTGGTTGTGTTACTGTTGTTGTTGTTGTTGTTACTGATACTCATCACATTTGAGGAATTTCTGTTGTTATTATTGTTTGTGTTTGCTGCCATATATCCATTAGAATATCCAACGTAATTATTATTTAAATCGCGATCGCGATCACAATTTTTACACTGATTAGACATGATTTAGTGCTTCTCACTTCTAATGTACAACTGTATATGATTCCACCGAAAAAAAGCTGCTGAACGTTGAATGCTTTTTTTAACGATTGGATTAATAGAGACTTTACGCTCTTGGGAAACTCTCAAAAAAATAATATAAAGTAAATAAGAAAGAGTTTTTTTTTTATTTTTATGAAGCACCGACCCCAAAAAATTATGAAGAAAAAAAAACCTTTTGTTATTACTTTCTGCACACACGATATATGTATAAATGAGGTGTAGATACAAGAAGAAAAAGCTGGTTTGCACAATTTTTTTTCTTTTTTCAAAAAATGCACAGAAGAAACAGGTTGATTCAATTTGTAGTCGTTGTAGAATTGAGAAAAATTTATATATGCTTATTATGTATCACGTTTTATTAAAAAAATAATTTGTAATAATTTTTTTTCTTCAAAAACTAAATTTCATCTCCTAAGCAAGTTGAAGTACACTGTCGCACTGTCGCTTTGCTACGAAAAAAAACTTTTTACCTTTCCGCTACTCTCTTGACGATGAGACCGCATACATGTAAGTGATACAAGCGAATTATTTGAGAGTATATTTTTTTTCTGTTACTGCTGCTGTTTCTCAAATAATACAAACACAAAATAGCTTTACTTTTATTCAATAAATATATTTTTTTCTTCTTTTCTTTTTTTTTCTCGTCATTTAAAGTAATTTTGGTCTATCGTATAACATACGTAGGAAGCGTATACTTTGAAAAAATTCTGAAATGTCTTTATTTAAACTTTCTTTCCAGCACTTAAAAAGTAACGTTCTTTTCTAATTTGAACTACTGACCAAGAATTCTCACTAAATTCACATTCAACATGTTTGAATGCGGATCATAGTATATGACTCAGCACATTGCAGGTTTATAAGGTGAATCAACATTGGAATGCAGAACGGATTATTCATCAAATTCATTCGAAAATTGACCATTAATTATTGTGGTCGTCAGAGTTGTTCATTGATTTGTGCTTTGCAAGGAATTCTATTTAACGGTGAAATTCAACGCTGTTCTAAACTTTGAATTTGTGGAAAGAGCCTATGTGAATAGTTTGGTTCATTTTATTCACGAAATTTGGATCATTGTTACTTTTCAAACTAAAATCTGTGTCTAAAATCCTGAAAAGCTATAAAAAACCTCCAAGCTTGCTAATAGCTATTATCTGTTTTTTCTAAAGAAATTTTATTTTCGACACAGGATTTTCCCTGTGAAAAATTTCTCATTTCAAAAAGTTTTTCAAGAATTTACATAATTAAATCCACAATATTCACATTTTATTTCACTTAGAAACACTTAAAAAAGTGGCAAGAGTTTTCTAAGAACCAAGCAATAATTTTAACATGCCGGATTTTCATAATAAAAAACAAATATTATGTCATTTTCTCAAAGTGAATACATAGGCGTAACTATTTCCTACAACTAAGCTAAAAAACGAGTAAAAGATGAATGAAGTTTTTGGAAAAGAGAAAAATACTACAACATTTACCGTAGTTTACTCATATATATATGCAAAAGGTTGTTACTGCTTAATGCACGATGATGCTCTAATAGAATTTGTTAGAGAAATCTTTCAAGTCATAAATAATTTGTCGTAGATGCATTATAAGATGAGAATAATGGATATTACAGCATCTTTATTCAGTTTATAGTGAAGAGGAGTGAGAGAGCAATCTTCTATGCAAAAGATCATCCAATTTGATGAAGTAGTAGTTGTAAATAGTAGTATTTATGCAGATAGAAGGCTAAACGAGCAACAAAAAAATTTTCTACTCAATTTCTTCTTACGGGAAAAATGAGAAGCGAAAGAAGTGGAAGAATAAAAGAGACCTACTTCTCAAACATCGACATAAAAGTTATACATATAGTTAAAGTGTGTCACTAGTTTCATATTCAAAAAAGAAAGAAAAAAATTATATATAAATACGTACTTCGCTTGTGATCAGCTCACACATTCAACTTTTTCTTCTATACATTATGAAATAAAGTTGTGGGATAAGACTCATCGTATGTTCTTAGTATTTTCTCCATAAATTATGTCATGTATGTGTTATGAATGCTTTTTTGCAAGTGATTTAGAGGTTAGTTCCATTAGCTATTAAACTTTAAGTACTTCCATATACACAGATATTTAAATTATTTCTATGATGAAACATTCTTAATGCAAATTTTTGATGTTTTTTGCGCATTTTAAAGTTTTTTAAATTAATTATTAGCTTCGATGCATAGCAATAAAGATAAATTTGAGGAAGAAAGTATAATAATAATTGAAAATAAGCTTTTCAATCAAATTCAAAACAATGATTTCAAAGAAAAAAAAACAATTTGCTTTTTTATCGATAGACTCTATTTCTGTAGAACGAAAACGATCAAACGAGAGCTTTGAAAAAGCTTGCTCCATTAAAGCTGTTTAAAATATATCTTATACAAATATCATGAAATCTGATTGTGTTTGCGATATTCACGAGTCAAATTAGAGTTTGTAAGATTTTTTTCAGGAGATTATTATTAACTAGGCTATCCGGAGGCGCCCGTGGCTCCTCTTATCAGGGTAAAAATTTGATTACTATTATGTAAATAACTGTAAGACGCAAATAACCATAATGTTTTTAAATAAAATCCTACCACAAAACTTCACATGGCCTCACAACCCCCTCAAACTCGGATTTCCTTAATCCCACAAAACCTATATAAATGGCTTCACAAAACTTCACAGGGCTTCACAAACCCCCTTGAAATCGAACCCCCTTAATACCACTAAAACTTTATAAATGGCTTCACAAACTCCCTCAAACTCGGACTTCCTTAATCCCGCAAAAACTTTATAAATAGCTTCACAAAACTAGGGGTTCTAAAATCGGAAATATTCCTGAAATTCCCGTTTTCATACCAAAAAAAACCGACAATTCAAATTAGTTTTTTTTTTATTTTGTATTTTCCATGAAAAAAAATTATAATAATGAAAACATACGTTAAGGAATTTAAGAGTTGAAATATTGAACTCAAATTTGAGTGTCCATCAAGTAGAACGGTGACCTAACGAATTGAGTGATGGACTATATATGGGTTTGTTGTGCTATTTTGTGAAAGCAGAAAAATAACTTTTTTAAATTTTGTGAAGTTGCCAGTTCTGAGATATGAGCATCTGAAAACGGAGCTAGGGCCGATTTTTTACTTTTAACACTTTCGACTGTAAATCTGACAAGGCTTAACGAAAATTGTTTAAACTTGGTCAGTAATTTGTGCAAATGTTTCTTAATCAAATAAAATAAACGGAATATTTTTATCTAGCCTAACCGTTCTACTTGATGGACACCAAATTTGATGTTTTTTAAATCAAAAACATATATTTATGAAAAACGAAGAGAAAAAGTATTTAAAAATATTTTTTAAATGTATGATGTCCATAAAATAATAAACTTAATTGACATTGGATTAAAGTAATTTTTCCAAAATAAAAAAACGTGCTGGAAATTAATATTTCTGGAATCCACCAACATCTACAAGAGCTGAACGTAACTTTTCAATCTCCAATAATATTGTCTCAAAAAATCGCACTAGATTGCTAGACCAGTTAAAATCGTACTTTAAGAATTGTTCTAAAACCAAAAAGAATTGAATTTCAAACGGAAATTATTGTCAAAAGAATCAATTTGACAATCAAATCAAATAGAATTTAAATTTAATTTAAAAACCTAAATAAAAAGCTTCTAAAATTTTGAATTAATACTATATATTTTTGATAATTTTCGAGCTGAATACACCCTTAATTAACGCAAAAATGTGAAATCACAATCAGTCAAAAAAGGTCAAATTTCTCAGCAACCTTTGACTTTCAATTTTCTCACAATTTTCTTCAGTTTAATTCTTTAAAGACGTGTTTTTAAATATTGTTGCAAATCGGTGCAAATAAATTGGAACTTGACATTATTAATGCTTAAAAAGAAGTGGAGTTCAAGATAAAAGTGATAGTGAAGTGCTAAAATGGAAGCAACAGTGAAAATAAGCCAAAAGTGATGAAAAAATTAAAAGTGAAGAAAAAAATGAAAAATTTTCTGAGTGAACATTGAAAGTTAAGAAAATTAAATTCAAGAAGCTGTAAAATTGAAGTGAAAATGAGATTGATGAAGCTTGAAGGAACCAGGACACAATTAAAGAAGCAAGAGGCTAGTGACAACGAATAAAAAAGCTAAGTATACTAATAAATAGTCCTCAAATTCCTTTTCTTTAATGAAACCAGCCATTTGACTTCCTACAATTGCGTACGTAATGCTTGCAATACGTGAAATGATTACTTAAAAACGCATTGCATTGAGTTTTACATTTCGTCAGCCTTTGTTGATGTAAATTAAGAGTGGGAGTCGTTGAATAGGTCAGAGGGGGGTCGATGCAAGATGAGGAGGGGTAAAACTTGAGGGAGCAAAGTCTTTTGACCATTTTTTAAAAAGTTTTTCTGTTCTTTTTTTTTTTTTTTGTAAATCGAGCCTATGAGTCATGTGTTTCTGCCTGTGAGACTTACTATCGTAGCTATTGATTGGTTCATCCTTGATGTAGAGTGGCATCAAGGACATTGATTGCTTGCTCGTAAATGAGACTTGCAATTTTTTGTCTAGATGCCTGTTCTCACACACAGCATTAGACTTACATCAGGTCCAATGACGTATCGTGTAGTTTAATGTGAAAAATGAGCCTCTGATGATTTGGGTTGTAATCAATAGAAGCTTAATTACAAGCGTCTAACCCTAACCCTAAATTGTGGTTCTTTTTCATGCTCAGGTGTGTGGTAAAGAACGTTTTTGCCTCTATCTCGGACTGTTCTGATTCAAAGCCTGAAATGTGAGCAGTAATGGAATGAAAACACGATTGATTCATTTCCTAGGTTGAAATTAAACTTGATATGATTAACTATGAAAGAAGAACCATCAAAAAATTTGCTTTCTCAGTTTAATCCCTCCTTCATCTTGCATCAGCTTCTCTCTTACCTGTCCATCGACTTCCATCTTTAATTTACATACATCGAGAAAGAGCGAACGGAACATAGTACTTAATGTTATGTGATTTTACTTAATGATTTTACGTAACGTAGGCTTTATGTGAGCCTTTTTGAAAGTTTTTCTGACTAATTTCCATCAGAGAAAGTGAATTTGATATCATGAAACTTTAATTTAAACAGCAAATCTTAATTAAGAATTAAATTTATTTTTATTTTACTAATTCGTTTTTAAAATTGCCATATATTTTAGGTTCTTTAAGGATCAGCACTTATAGCCATCATAAAACATTTCATATGTTGTGTTATTTTCTTCACATTTGAACAATTACTCATCGTTCACACACAAGTAAGCACATAGTATGAATATTTGATACAAATTGGATTTATATAGACTTTTTTAACTGACAAACTACAGAAGAATTGTCTTGACGATTTCTTATTGTCTTGACGATGGTCAATCATAGGGGTTCTAAAATCGGGAATATTCCCGAAATTCTCGTTTTCATACCAAAAAAAAAAAACCGACAATTCAAATTAGTTTTTTTTTTATTTTGTTTTTTCCATGAAAAAAACTACAATTTTAAGAAAAAAATTATAATAATGAAAACATACGTTAAGGGCAATTCTACGAGTGAAAAAAATTACAAAATTTCTTTATTCTATTAAAAAAAACTTTGAATATTGACTTTTTACACATTTAAATTAATTAAAATTATGTAAAAAGGGAATGTTTATCATTATGAATAGTACTTGTTTGCAATAAATGGCTGTATGAGGAGATATTTTAACCTTTTTTACTGTCAATCGGTGGAATTTACAAAATGTACTTTAATTTGTTAAATATTTCACTAAACACTCATTTCTGATTTGTGTCTCTACCCAAAAAATGTTTGAATTCACAAATTTAACAAACCTTTGACTTAAAACATAGCAATAATGCTTTAATATAGCTAAAATTTGTCAAAAACTGTGTCAATCGGTGGAAATTTTGAGTGTTTTGTATTTTCCCGAAAAGCAAAATAACGAATAACCGTTTTTACGAATTACAAATTTACGAATGTTCATTTTTACGAAAATTTTTATGGTAAAACCTTATAGGATATAATTTGAATCTCAAAAAACCGTTGGTTAAATCAAACATTAAAAGACAATTAACATTAATTATATCATTTAAATGCGAATAGATATGATATAATAATTATGAAAAGATGAAGGATTAA